ATATAAATGTCTCATTTGGCTGTCTGTATTCCCCAGTAGATAGCATCCTCCTAAAGTATCTTTTTCCTTGTTGTATGCTAAATCCTAGTGTTAGCTTATATAGTAGGTATAAATATTTGTTAACTAAATATTAGATAGTCCTCTTTATACTCTCCTTCATTAGGGTACTCATTTATGATTGACACAAGGAACTATAAAAGATTAATGCTTTTTAGAGTATCCTCTGTAAAAAGGCAAGGTAGAGTTATAAATCAGAGTAATTAAAAGGCCAACATGAGAGAATAAAAAGACAAGCAAGAGTAGGAGAAAATATTGTAAAAGACATATCTGATAGCTGGGCGTGGTGGCTCACGCCAGTAATCGTAGCACTCTGGGAGGCCGAGGCAGGAGGATTGCTCAAGGTCAGGAGTTCGAAACCAGCCTGAGCAAGAGTGAGACCCCGTCTCTACTAGAAATATAAATTAATTGGCCAACTAATATATATAGAAAAAATTAGCTGGGCATAGTGGTACATGCCTGTAGTCCCAGCTACTCAGGAGGCTGAGGCAGTAGGATCACTTGAGCCCAGGGGTTTGAGGTTGCTGTGAGCTAGGCTGATGCCATGGTACTCACTCTAGCCTGGGCAACAAAGCAAGACTCTCTCTCAAAAAAAATAAAAAATAAAAAACCCAGACATATCTGATAAAGGACTGGTGTCTATGGCCATACCACCCTGAACGTGCCTGATCTCGTCTGATAAAGGACTGGTATCCAAAATATACTAAAAACTCTTAAAACTCAATAATAAGGAAACAAGCAATCAAGAAAATGGTCCAAAATATGAACAGACACCTCACCAAAGAAGATATACAGATGGAAAATATGCCTATGGAAAAAATGCCCAATATCTTATGTAATTAGGGAACTGCAAATTAAAACAAGTTACACTACACACCTATTAGAATAGCAACAATGCCAAAAATTCAGAACATCAAATGGTGTTGTGGATGTGGAGCAACAGAAACTTTTATTCATTGCTAGATAGAAAACAAAATGGTACAGCCATTTATAAGCACTCTGGCAGTTTCTTACTAAACTAAACATATTCTTACCATATGACCCAGCAATTGCACTCCTTGGATGAGTTAAAATGGATGTCCACACAAAAAACTGCACATGAATGTTTATAGCAGCTGTATGTATAATCATCAATACTTTGAAACAACCAAGATGTCCTACAATAGGTGAATGGATAAACTGTAGTACATCCGTACAATAGAATACTATTCAGTGCTTAAAAGAAATGCGCTAGCAAGCCATGAAAAGACATGTAGGAAACTTAAATGCATATAGCTAAGTTATAGAAGCCAGTCTGAAAAGGCCACATACTGTATGATTCCAACTATATGGCATTCTGGAAAAGGCAGAAGAGCCAGTGCAAAGATTAGTGGTTGCTAGAGATTTGGAAGAAGGGAAGAAGGAATGAATAGATAGAGAACAGAGGTTTTTAAAGCAATGAAATTATTCTGTATGAGCTGCTATTAATGGTGGATACAAGTAATTATACATTTGTCAAAACCTATAGAATGTACAACACAAAGAGTGAACCCTAATGTAAACTATTAAGTACTTTAGTTAGTGTATCAATATTGTATCAATATTGGCTCATTCAATCATAACAAACATAAGATGCAAGATGTTAATAATAGGGAAAGGGCAGGGTGCAGGAAGCTATTAATATATGCAAACTATGTACTTTCTGCTGAATTTTTCTTTAAAGTTAAAACTACTCCAAAAAAAGTTTATTAATTTAAAACCAAAAAAGGACAATATGGAAAGGTGTGGTTAAGTGGACAGGCTTTGAAGTCTGTTTACTTGTGTTTGAATTTATTAATAGCAATGAAACCTTCAGCAGCAAGTTATTTAACTCTTCTCACCCCCTCAGCTCTAAAGTTTATGGTCAATCTTTGTCTTGCAGATATTATAATTAAGGATCTAGTATATGTCTTACACAAAGCAAGTCATCAATATGTATTTGTTAATCTTCCTAGTTAAAATTTCAACTGTCACTTAGGAAACTCTCTGGTTTATCTTCTGGTACAGAGCAATAATAATCAGGCTTTTTCCTAACTTTTAAATTGTTTATTATGAAGCATCTGTCTGCAAATAAACAAATTTCCAAAAATGGACTGTAACAAATAGTAAAAATCAACAAATAATTTCATATGGATTTGGACTATATAACACAATTTACATTTTCATGAACATACTGAATAGTAAAGAATTGTCAATTTTAATAGCATATCCTGTCTTTCATAACTTTATGAGATGTAGAGTAGCTACAATCTCCATTTATAGCAGGTAAAAAGCAATTCAGATGATCCTTAGCCAAATTCAGTTTCAATTCTTCAAATATTCTTGCAAGGCTCTGAAACTATCATTTGATTTGAAATTATATCTGAAGTTACAGAAGCTCATTGTGGTAAAATCAAATTTTCTTTCTTTTTGACTAAATGGAGAGATGTTATGTTTTAATAAAATCAGCCTGGAATAGGCTAATTATTCTTATTCTTTAGCACTCAATTGCACAATTAATATTTTTTGATGTTTTATTCTTTCCAGTAAAATGTGTTTTTTTTAAAAAGTAAAAACCTGGCACCATATAATTATTAAAGATTATGATGAATGCAGGAAAGGAAGAGAGTGGTTGAACTCTTTTAAACACTAAAAATCTGTTTTTGATAATCAATGTCTAAAAAAGTACCAAATAAACTAATTTTCTCTTCTTGTAAACACATATTAAAAACTATAGTATTAAGAATACTTTTTAAGCCTTAGATTACTAGTTACCTATCCTAAATTTTGAAAAAAAATGTACATAAAGTTAATATATTATAAGAGAACTCAGTTCCAGAGTTCAAATATACTATTATCAATATTTAAAAGAATATTTATTTTTCCAATACATTGTAGTTCAGTGTATAGAAGTTATCATTTACTTCTGAAGACTGATGAGTGGAGTATGACAAACTGTAATTCTTGTGTGTATTGCTTGTATGGCTTCTGATTTTTTTGAGAATATTTGGAACTGTGTAGTCTGATTTCCTACAGGGAATAAAAAAAAAAAGTCACAACCTTTACCCCTTTTCTGAAAACAAATCTGATATCTCACTTTAGAGATTTGAACATTTAGGCACCTTGGTAGGGAAGCAAGGCCACAAAGTCCATTGAACTCATAACATCACCATACCAAAGTAACATTTGTGTCCAATCTCTTTGTTGCCAGTAGTCCTAACATATCATTAAGATATGAAAAGCAAATAATTCACATCCAAAGAAAACAGAAACAGTAGTGGAATTTGGTTAGCACTGGGGCCAAGCCTGATTGCATCTAAATTAGGCTGTAGAGCAGATAGCATCTAAGTACTTTGATGTTCCAAAAAACATAAAGCATACTTATACATTAGGTGTAGTAATAGATGCATGGGTAATAGAAAATATAAACAAAATTATGAAGGCCAATTTAAAAAAATTTCACTTTCACGAAATTTACATAAGAACATCCTTGAGGGCTAGGTGGACGTAGTGGCTCATGCCTGTAGTCTTACCACTCTTAGAGGCCGAGGTGGGTGGATCTCTCAAGGTCAGGAGTTCAAAACCAGCCTGAGCAAGAGTGAGACCTGTCTCTATTATAAATAGAAAGAAATTAATTGGCCAACTAAAAATACATAGAAAAAATTAGTGGGGCATGGTGGCACATGCCTGTAGTCCAGCTACTCGGAAGGATGAGGCAGAAGGATTGCTTGAGCCCAGAAGTTTGAGGTTGCTGTGAGCTAGGCTGATACCATGGCACGGCACTCTAGCCCAGGCAACAAAGTGAGACTGTCTCAAAAAAAAAAAAAAAAAATCCTTGAATTTGCAATGTGTATTATACTTCTTAAAGATTCTATAACCAAAACTTAGACTACAAACTTAAAAAATTAAGCCATTTACGACAGAATTCAAGATGCTTTAGTAAACTCTTGACTAAAATATTTTTTTGTTGTCTTTAAGTAAAACTTGAAAAATATCATCCACCCCATCAGTCATCTGAGGGTGAAAGGAATACCTATAAGATGACAAAGTCCTAGAGTTAATTTTAGACAAAGTAGAAAAATTCCTGGCTCTATATATAATCTGGTGATTTAGGCAGCATATGAATGTTAATCATGATGTGACAGATCAGACTTCAAATTCTTTACTACTAGACTAGGATGGCTGCAAAGACAAAATGAAGGAGGAAAACTGCAAATATTATTTTTTTCCATTTCCAACAAGGCGACAGGTAACACCTGAGCTTTGGGATAAGGGATTTGGGAAGAATAAGTGCAGGAGTCCGCGGGAGGTGGAGGTATGCTTGTTGACAAGTTTTCTCTGCCCATGACCTTTAGCCTAGATGTTAATGCTTCCAACTGGGGCAACCCCAGCGGGGGGAATCCAGGGTCCACCAACAGGCGCGGACAGGGTGACCTCTGCCCTGCTTTAGCATGAGAAAGCAGACGAGATGCGGGAGGGGCGAGGTGCCTACAGCCTCCAGGTGTAGCCCCATCTGTTTCGCCCTAACTCCTCTCTTTCCTCCACTTATCCCTACCCGAAGTTCCCTCTTACCCGGGCAGGACAGCTTGGCTAGTGGCACCAACATGCTCAAAGTCACCAGGACTCTTGGTCTGACACACGGAAGGACTGTCTGCGGCTCGCCGCGGGCGCCGGACCTCTAGACCGCGGGGGGCGCCATCACCGGCAGGGAAGCCAGAACCCCTCCACTGCAGTTTGCCTCTTGGCTCAGCCGAGCTCTCTAGCTTCACAGCGTTCCCGCCTCCTTCTCACTCTGCGCCGGCGCCATGCGTGACGCGACGGCCAACTGAGGCTTCTGGGTCATGTACCAAACACAAAAAGGAAAAGAGACTCCAAGTCCCGGCACGCCCAGACGAGGTGAGGAGACTGGAGGGCGGTGGCAGGAACTCACCAATGCCGTAGCACAACGCACGCGCAATGGAAGGCTGCGAGGCGCGTATGGCATCCTGGGAGTTGTAGTCTTCTGCATCAGCGCCCCCCGAGCCCGGCTGGAGGTTTGCGGATGAGGGCTGCAATGACTGACATCTGATTGGCTGTCTCCAAAAATGAAAAGTCTTTGTGGGCGTGGGCTGAGACCCACGAGGAGACGGGGGCGGGATTTCGGGCCGCAGGAGGCGGGGCCTCTGGGCTATGGGCGCGAGCGGTTGAAAAGACAGTTGGTGTCGGTTCGGGTGCTCGGGTCGGATTCCGCCGTTCCAGCTGGTCCCCATGGCTGACCCTGAGGAGTTGCAGGTTTCCCCGCCGCTCCCGCCGCCTCCGTCTTCTCCTTCATCTTCAGACACTTCTTCAGCATCGTCGCCGGGCGTCCTCGTGAGTTTGGGCCGGCCAGTTCGGAGCAGGAGCAGCGGCGGGGCGGTGGACCCGCTGGAGGAAGTGGAGCTGCAGATCGGAGACGTGAGTGTCTCGTCGCCCGACAGGTCCCGGACCGCGTCCGGCTCGGCGCGGCGCCTCTCGGAAGACGGGCAGCTGCAGGGCCCGGGAGGGGCGGGGAGCCCGCTCGCTCGGCCCGCGACTGACCCCTCTCCTGCCTGCTCAGTCCCTGGGCGGGATGGGGAAGGATGCCAGCCGCTGAAGTGCCACCCCACCCGGGGGTTCTGCCTATAGATCTAGTCTTGAGGCATCCAGGGGTTATCCCTCCACCCCGCACTGCTTTGTTTTTCTTTTTTTTTTTTTGGTCTTGCCTTCTGGTTTCAATCATCCCCAGTAACCCGAAACCACACAGTTCTGCGCCGCTTGGTGCGTGCTCGCTCTGCCGCCTCCTCTCCTACGGAAGAGCGGTCCCAACTGCGTGGGTTTGCCTCGCCGCCTGTTGGTGCTCAGGCTCAGGCTGCGATTTCTTTACGTGCGACTTAGAGCCTGCTGCTCTGGTTGGCCACCTGCCCGGAGCCAGCTGATAATGCTGTTTGCTGTTGTCAGGCTCGCCTCGCCCCGGACCCAGCTTGGAGGACTTAGTCATGTCGATTGGCCTCCTTAACGGTTTCGCGCGGGACTCCTCCCTGTGGTTGCTAGAATGCGTAATTAGTCTGGGCCGTTTCTGTTAAATCCCGAATTCCTGGAAACTAGCACCCCACCTCCCCACCCCTAACTCACACACCACTGGAGGCGGGGGTAGGGTTGCAGGGGGGCACAGTCACAGTTTCTGTATTTATGGGTTCTTGAGTGGGTCAAGTGGAATGAGGTATGAAGGGTGTAACCTTTCTCGGGAGAGCTTTGTGGAATAGACTTTTCTTTGCAGATTGAAAACCGGGGAGTGAACTCGATTATCTCATTGCTCCACAAGTGTTTTTTGTTTTTCTTTTTATAAGATGACTAAGGGTGCTGATCAGCTTTTATTGTTGCAGAACAGGACTGGTTACAAGTAAATATGTAGAAATGAAGTGCTGATGTGTTATTGTATATCATAGGTGAAGAAAATATGTGATTAAAAAAGTGAATTTTTCATTAAGAGCTGAATATTTTCTGCATTTGTGTTTGATTTTGTTGATATTATTTGATAGAGCTCAGAGTATCTGTTCTTTGAGCTATACATTTTCACTGTGTAAAGTGTTGGCGGATAAAAATAGTGGAACTATACCTGTGTTACCCAAGTATCGGTTAAGCGTTGGTTATGATAAAGTCCTTCAGATACTTCTGGTATGTAGTGTCAAGGGGTCCAAGTCATCTTATTGAGCTCAGTGAGACTCCAGTGTATTTTCAATTAAAACAAAAATACTGACTTGTCATGTCTCATACATATTCGATATTTTTCCAGCAGACATATGTCCTCAAAGTTTACTTAATGTCAAAGAATTTCTTAGGTTCCTTGAAAGAGCCAGTGTTTTAATTTGAAAATGTGTTACTTTTAAAGAAAATAAAGAAAATAACTTGGGCATTAGATTCAAGGCTTTAAGCTATTTATAGACTATTTATAAAATGAGAATTTAAAAAAATAGACATTTTTGTTTGACATTTTTTTCCCTTTAATTTCAGGCAGCATTTTCATTAACCAAACTTCTTGAAGCCACATCTGCAGTATCAGCTCAAGTGGAAGAGCTTGCCTTCAAATGTATGGAAAATGCACGTTTCCTTAAAACATGGCGGGACCTCTTGAAAGAAGGCTACGATTCTTTGAAACCTGACAACTGATTTGACATGCTTAGTTGTTTAAATAACGACGCTAAAATTCATACATCCTCATGCGTAATATTTGCACATTACTACATGTATAGGATGATCTCTTTTCAGCAGTTTTGTATACTCAGAATGAAATTTTTCTTGACTTTTGTGAAAATAGAATACTGATGTTATTTTTGATGCTGGCCAGTACTGGTTTATCCTCAAATACTTTCTTCTTTGTAAACTTTTATAGAATCCTTTATGAAAGCTAATTTTATTAGTAAATGGTTAATATTCATAGTGCCACAGTGCTACCAATAACAAATGAGGTAGACCATTATTTGTTTTGCAACAAGATGCTAAGAATGGCAGAATTTGAAGTTGAGCTTTATCTTACGGACCAAGGAAGGTAACTTTAAGGTCACCAATCATAGATCCCACTTCATTAGGCTATGTTTTCTAGAGACAGTGATTGTTTTTTATTTACTTTCTATAACTCTGGCACTTAAAAAAGTGTCACACAACACTCACTTAAATGTTTGTTGAATGAAGGAGTTGACAAATATAATTAAAAGCTATGTTTTCTTCCTATATTTAGCATGAAGATCGTTTCTCAAAAAAAATGTATGAATTAGAACTTCATTGACTTGAAGGAAAATGTTCTCTTTTTAATGGGGATTTGAATTTTGATGATAGCTTTTTTAAGTACATGATAAAAATTTTTGTCCTTCTATGACTTTTTTTAAAAAGTCTTTACTTCAGAAAATGAAAGACTGTCTAGAAAGAATGCATGTTATTTTCCCTATTTATTTCTATGGTTAACTGCTTTTATAGTTTTTTGTATTTGATATTTTATATCTTTGATTACAGTCTTTAAAGTGCCTTATCAAATGTATGGCTCTGTGCTGTTACTTTTGGAGCTTTGCAAGTTGTTTATATAGTAATTCTAAGGGAGTTTCTTAGTTTCCAATGTATCAAATTTAAATGATGTGATTGTTTTCATATTATTTGACCTTAGTGACAACGTTCTATTTTGTTCTGTATATTATGTTGCTTTTTTGGTGGTTTGTGTCATATGTCAACAGTTAAGCCAACTAATTCTTTACTGTATATAACTTCTGAACATCTTTGATACGACATTTTAGTTCTTTGTAAATATGGGGATGTGTACAGAACTATATTCTAAAGCCCCTGTATAATGGGGCTATGAAAGGGGACAGACGGATGGGCAAAGAATAGTTTTGTTTAGCATATTAGATCATAGTCCTTGATTAATTTTTTAGTGTGTTTTTTATACCAAAGAGATGCATATTTCAGTATTAGAAAAATATTTTTCATATATCCTGACATTGCAATTTTTAAAATGTGCAAAAATAAACTCTTATTAAAAGCAAATCTTATTTCCATTTCTTTGGGTTCATTATTTTAAAACTTTTTATTGACATATTTTAAATATATGGGAAAGGTGGATGATTTAACAAACATCCAGGTATTCCTGCCATGCAGATTTAATAAATATTAGTATTTGGCTATATTTTGTTCAGATATACATATATGAATGTAAATGTTAGATACATTTGAAGCTTGCTTTGTTGCCTCTTTGATCCTATCCCCTTTCTCTCTCCCTTGAGGTAGCTATTATTCTAGAGGTGGATATTCAAGGTTGTGTTTTATATTTTAATATGTATGTATTCAAAGCACTACAAAATGTCTTGTGTATGTGGTATCCTGCCTCCTGATCTTCATGCCCCTGTATAGTTCTAACTTGTGTAACAACCAAGATATTAAGGAAACGCACTGTGTGATTTCTGAGGCCATTTCTTGATCATTTTTCTATTTTGTCTTTTCCTTGCCAGTCTGTAGATGTTATATATTTTGAATACTAATGATCTGTTATGAATGTTTCAACTATTTTTGTAGTCTGGTTTGTTTTTGTATTTTTTATATGATGTGTATATGTTAATAAAAACTTGCTTGTTTTTCTCTTGTTAATCTGCCTTTTGTTACAGAGGTCTGTCCCAGTGATGAATTTATGAGAGTTAAGGAGAAACTCTATTTTCCTGAAAATTTTAACATTAAAAATAATGTGTTTGGTTTCAAAAATTCTGAGGACAAATTATGTGCCAGGCACTCTGTTAGGAGCTTTATAAACATTTCATGTAAACATGAAAATCATCTCTTTGAGAAAAGTGATATTATTACTATTTACAGAATAGAAAACAGGCTGAGATAAAATAATTTGCCTGTCTCTGGTACCAAAATTGGTATATTATACCATATCTAGCAAGCTAGCTCTTAGACTTATTAATATTTAAGTTTATTTACTCATCTGTAATGGTTAATTTTATGTGTCAACTTGACTGGGCTACAGGTGCCCAGATATTTGTTCAAACATTATTCTGAATTTTTCAGCAAGGATGTATTTGGATGAGATTACTGTTTAAATCAGTAGACTGAGTAAAGCAGATTGCCCTCCATAATTCAGGTTGTCCTCATCCTATCAGTTAAAGGCCTGAAAAGAACAAAAGGCTGACCCTCCCCTAAGCAAGGGGAAATTCTGTCTTCAAACATGAGCTTTTCCTTTCTGATAGGTTTTGAACTGGGACATTGGCTTTTCCTGGTCCTATAGTAGCCTGCCAACCTTTGGACTCAAACTGGGGCATCAACTCTGCAGATTTTTATACTTGCCAGCTTCCATAATCACGTGAGACAATTCCTTATAACCTGTTTATGTGTATATATGTATACATATGTGTCTATGGAGAACCCAGATAATACGCCATCCCAAAATAGAATATTAGTGCTAGTAACTGTATAACATTCAGTTTTTTTCTCTGAGATTATATTTTTTTAAAAAATTCTAAAAACTGATAAAGATCACCTGAACAAATTAGAACTGGAGGTACAGAGACTTGTTGAAGACTATTGCAAATATCCCAATGAGACATGATGTTGACCCAAACTAAGGCATTGGGAAGTGGGATGAAGAGGAGTGGATGAATTTATGTGTATGGGGTAGCATCAAGCCATAGAAGTGGATGAGGTTGCCATGCTCTATAGCAAAACGCTTCTAGTGAAAACTTTTCTTGAAAAGAGGAGCAACTTAGGTAAAAATCAAATTTGTGGTTTTTTGAGGTCTCTTACCTGTAGTGGGTCAGTCCACCTCATTCAAGTATCAACTCACTACTTAGTGTGTCAAGTAAAATGCATGACTTCACGATTCCAGCTGCATATTCCCCCTTCACCTTTGTTCTTTGCCTTTAACTTTATTGGTGTCATTACTTAGGAGAGATTATATAGTAGCATGATGAATTGGTAATCCTTTAACTAAAAATGGTAAAAAATGAAAGTTGAGATTTTCCTGATATATAGTTTAAATTTTAAAAGAACTTTGTCTTGCTTGATTTAGAGGACTGATTTGACCTAACGCATGGTCCTCGAATTTTGGACCAAAGTTATATTTCTAAAAGAGAAAACCTTGACACAAATCTGGGTTACTTTTGTGCTTTCTGTGTGCTTCTACGGAAGCCAGTGAACTCTAATATGTGTTATATACTATGTTGGTCATTACTCATTAAATTAAATTAAATAGAAGTTACTCTATCTGAAAAGGTGGAAGGGTGAGTGGATTGAGTAGACAAGAAACCAAATGGACTCTAGAAAATCATTTGAAATATTTTAAATGCTAAAGGAAGTTTCAGATTTATATTTTGTAAATTTACTGCATTTCTAAGACTAACAGGTTAGAAACATGATTTTTGTAGGATTAAATTTTCTGTCCCATTTTCATGATTGCTTTATTCTTTTTTAGATATTCTTTTTATGAAGAATATTTTCCTATTTTATTACTTAGTAATAAGACTTCTAAATAACAAATAGCTCTAAATTATTATAAAAATTTAAAATATTTTAATTTTTATAACTTTATTGTTCAGTTTTTTGGATGCTATTTTAAATTTTTTGCATCCTATTTATTGTAATAAAAATATAAGTAGTTATAACATTATTGAATATTACAAGAACTATAATTTTCTATTATGTTCTGAGTTTTATTGAAAATATACCACATTTTTCATGTAGAAAACTTATTGGTATCATTCCAAGTAAGAACAGAAAGAACACAAAACAATCATGTTTTTAACAGAATTAAATTTCAAGTAATTTATTTTAGAAATAATTCTATACAATTATATACTCAATAAATGCATTATGTTTTTGATTCCAGTATTTTCATGTTCCAAACATTTCTAGTGTTTCAACTACCTGAAAACATTTTTTTCCTGTTTAAAGATTTCAAATTATGAAAGCAAACAATTCCAATAGACCAGAAAGGAATAGCTAAAAAGTTACTATCTCATGTACTGGCTGTGCCAACAGAAGGTAAAGCCATTTCTTGATGCCAACTATTTTCTTCTCAGAGTGAAACATATACACCCAAACCTTTCCTTCCTCAGTCAGTGCATTCCAGCTCTTCTTTCTTTCTTTCTTTTTCCTCTTAACTGCTTTATTGAGATATTTCACGTACCATAAAATTCACCCATCTAAAGTGTACAATTCAATGGCTTTTAGTATAATCATAGAGTTGTTTATGCATCAACACAAACACTTTTAGAACATTTGTTTTAGCCCAGGAGGATACCCTGCACTTGGTAGCTATCATTCTCTCAACCCCTCACCCCTTAATAATCTCTAATTTACTTTCTGTTTCCATGAATTTGCTTATTCTAGATATTTCATGTAAGTGGAACCAAATAGTATTTGTCCTTTTATATTGGCTTATGTCACATTCTTCATGTTTTAGCATTATCAGAATTTCATTCCTTTTAATACTGAATAATATACCATTGTATGTGTATATGCCACACTTGTTTAACCATTCATCAATTGATGGGCACTTGACTTGTTTCCATCTTTTGGCTACTGTGAATAATGCTGCAATGAAAATTTGCATACAAGTATCAGTGTCTTGTTTTCAATTCTTTTGGGTTTGTATCTAGGAGTGAAATCGCCAGGTCATATGGTAATTCTATTTAATTAATTAATTAATTAATTATTTTCAGACAGAGTCTCACTTTGTTGCCCAGTCTAGAGTGAGTGCCGTGGCGTTACCCAAGCTCACAGCAACCTCAAACTCCTGGGCTCAAGTGATCCTTCTGCCTCAGGCTCCCAAGTAGCTGGGACTATAGGCATGTGCCACCATGCCCGGCTAATTATTTTTAAATATATATATATTAGTTGGCCAATTAATTTCTTTCTATTTATAGCAGAGACAGGGTCTCGCTTTTGCTCAGGATGGTCTCAAACTCCTGACCTTGAGCATCTGCCTCGGCCTCCCAGAGTGTTAGGATTACAGGCATGAACCACCACGCCCAGCCTCTATTTTTAGTCTTTTGAGGAACTGCTGAACTTTTTTACAGCAGCTGCACCCTTTTACAATCTCACAAGCACGGTTTAAGGCTTCAATTTCTACACATCCTCTCCAATGCTTGTTATTTTCAGATTTGGGTTTTTTTTTTTTTTATAATAACTCTCTTAATAGATATGAAGTGTTATCTCATTGTGGTTTTCATTTGCATTTCTCTAATAATTAGTGATGTTGAGCACCTTTTCATGTCCTTATAGGCTATTTGTTTATCTTCTTTGGAGAAATGTCAATTGAAGTCCTTTGCCCATGTTTTAAAATTATTTTGTTGTTGCTGGGTCATAGAGTTTTTTTTTTTTTTTTTTTTTGAGACAGAGTCTCACTTTGTTGCCCAGGCTAGAGTGAGTGCCGTGGCGTCAGCCTGGCTCACAGCAACCTCAATCTCCGGGGCTCAGCGATCCTACTGCCTCAGCCTCCCGAGTAGCTGGGACTACAGGCATGCACCACCATGCCCGGCTAATTTTTTGTATATATATTTTTAGTTGGTCAATTAATTTCTTTCTATTTTTGGTAGAGACGGGGTCTCGCTCAGGCTGGTTTCGAACTCCCGACCTTGAGCAATCCGCCCGCCTTGGCCTCTCAAAGTGCTAGGATTACAGGCGTGAGCCACCACGCCCGGCCTATAGAGTTTTTTAAATATATTTTGGGTATTAAGCATTTCTCTAATATATGATCTGCAAATATTTTCTTCTCTTTTTCTAGGTTGTCTTTTTCACTTTCTTGATAATGTCCTTTGATGCACAAATGTTTGTAATTTAGTTGAAATCTAATTTACCTATTTTTTCTCTTTTCTTGATCAGGCTTTTGTTGTCATATCCAAGAATCCATTGCTAAATCCTAAGTCTTGAAGATTTACCCCTATGTTTTCTTCTAAGAGTTTTATAGTTTTAGCTCTTATCCTTGGGTTGTTAACTCATTTTGAGTTAATTTTTGTATATGACATGAAGTAGGAGTCCAACTTTTTTCTTTTACATGTAAATATCCAATTGTTCCAGCATCTTTTGTTGAAGACTGTTCTTTATTCATTTGGTTGTCTTGGCACCCTTGTTGAAAATGACTAACTGAATACATGAGAATTTATTTTTTGATTCTCAATTCTGTTCCATTCATTGAAATGTTTTTCCTCATTCTAGCTATTCTGATTCACTTCTTTGCCATACTTCTACTCTTCTATTCCAACCCCAAATGAGGATGCTCATTTAAAGCAAAAAGAAAGTTGAGCAGGAGGTAACAAAGAAATAATTATTTTTGAGTTTATAGCAAAGCATTTTTTTTCATAGTTATAAATCTTATATTGGCTCTCAAGTGTATGGAGACTTAAAGAGAGATAAGATGGATTCTTAAAACAGAATATCTATATTTTGCAAGCAATCAGACATTTTCTGTGATGCTAATCTATTTCACTGAGTATTCCAAACCTTAAACCTGTATTTAAAAGTGCCTATGATTCTTATGTTTGCTAATAAGCATGACAGACAAAGCTCTACTTTAAACTAGGAGCTGCAGATGGACTTTGTATAGTCTTTTGTAGTTAAACACAATCTACAGATTAAAAAGGTTCTGTACCATCTACTTCCAGGAATTTACCACTGTGCTATGTGCAGAGTGGGTACTCGATAAACACATGTTAGAAGAATGAATGCATCTCTCTGAAGTAGACTTCTCTTAATTTCCTATGCAAAATATGTACTAATATATACATATTATCAATATAATTACTTCCTTTAATATGAGCATTACTAACTTTTATTTTTCCCCATTTCCTTGTAAGCTAATTTATCTTAGCCATTATTATAAATTATTAATACTGTGGTATTCATTTCATACCAGTAAATCCCTCCTGAAGCACCCCACAGTATACTCGGTGAAGAAATGGGTTTCAGAATCAGTTACGAATAGGAATTAAGTCTAGTGGATTGAGAAATTAGTGATATTTCACAAGGGTCTGTGAAAACAGCCGGCTTCACTAACTCAGGTGACATCTCCTGCAGTGGCCACATTTCTACCCAGATGAATGATGGGGCATATGTTTTCTGACTTCCTTTGCTGTCGATAGATCTTCTTTGTCTGTAGTTGTACCAAAGCTGGTGGATCATTTCTTTGAATGGTCTTGTGGTCAGGGTATACAGAATTGGGTTCAAAGCACTGTTGATAGGAAGAATAAAAATCACTACCCAAGAGGTTATGGTACCTGGAAGAGAAAAATGAAGTAGGTTTAGTGTTTATAGATGTCTACAAGGTATAGAAACCTCCTTTCTTTGGTTCTTCCATCCCAACCTCCTTTTGAGTCATAATTATTGACTCCTTTGATGTCACATAATTCAATACCAAGTCGATATGTGTTTCCAGGATGTTTTTCCAGAGTGCCAGTCTGTAGGGAGTGCTGGTGCTGCAAGAGAACAGGGTTCTTTGCTAATGGGTTTTCCTTGAATATGTCAACAAGAGTATTCCGTTAGGTAAAAATATTTTCCATAAAGTGATTTCACATTCTTATGATTGCATTTTAGGAAAAATCATATTGTTAAGTATTACATTATAGCTTTTCAAATGTTTTAATTACTAGATAGTACATATAATATTTCTCAGAATATGTAGAATTATTTTTAATAAATTTCATTTCTGCTATTTGATTTAAAAATAGGTATGCATTTTTGGGCTTTTGATCAGATATTTATTTCCACAAAAACATCTTTGGCTAAACCCACTTTAAAAATCACCCTAATAAGGCCGGGCGCGGTGGCTCACGCCTGTAATCCTAGCACTTTGGGAGGCCGAGGCGGGCGGATTGCTCAAGGTCAGGAGTTCGAAACCAGCCTGAGCGAGACCCCGTCTCTACCAAAAATAGAAAGAAATTAATTGACCAACTAAAAATATATATATACAAAAAAATTAGCCGGGCATGGTGGCGCATGCCTGTAGTCCCAGCTACTCGGGAGGCTGAGGCAGTAGGATCGCTGAGCCCCGGAGATTGAGGTTGCTGTGAGCCAGGCTGATGCCACGGTACTCACTCTAGCCTGGGCAACAAAGTGAGACTCTGCCTAAAAAAAAAAAAAAAAAAAAATCACCCTAATATATATGCAAGTACCAAGTACTCAAGTTTTTGTTACAATTTAAGTGATGCTATTGTTCTTTTTGTTATTCATAAAATGTAAGATACTATCACCATCATCCATGGGATAGACCAAAATTAAAATTATGTATATATAAATTTTAAAAATGTGAATATATACTATACTACATATATGATTAACAGGATGTTTGCACATTTTTTATTGTGGTAAAATATACATAGCAAAAATTATCATATTATCCATTTTTAAATGTATAGTTCAGTGGGATTAAGCACATTCACATTGTTGTGCAACCAATACCACAATCTCTAGAACTATTTCATCTTCCATTCTGTCTATGAATTTGACTATTCCAGGAACCTCACATAAGTGGAATCAGAAAATATTTGTCCTTTTAAGTCTGGCTTATTTGACTTAGAATCATATCTTCAAGGTTCACCCATATTGTAGCATTTGTCAGAATTTCCTTCCTTTCTGAGGGTGAATAATAATCCATTGTGTATATATACCACATTTTGTTTATGCATTTATCCATCTATGGACACTTGTGTCACTTCTACCTTTTGGACATTGTCAATAACGTAAGTGTGCAAATATCTGCTTGACACCCTGCTTTCAATTCTTTTAGGCACTTTTCCAGAAGCTGGATTGTCATATTGTATGATAATTCTGTGTCTAATTTTTTGAGGAACTGCCATATTGTTTTCCAAAGCAGCTATACCATTTTATATTCCTACCAGCAGAAAATGACAAGTTTTGGTGAGGACCTCCAAATCTTCACCAAAACTTGTTATTTTCTTTTTTTCCCCCAAATAATAGTCACCCTAATAAATGTAATGCACATTATTTTTCAATACCAAAACTATTTACTTCTATTTTTCTCTCATACTCTGGGATGATATTCTCTAAATTGCATGTATCAGGAAGAAACATTTCTTACATTGTTAAAAAATGAAATAATTATAATTGTTTTGGCCTGTTTTCCTTTCTGGTCATCTTAAACATGTGATTATCAGAATGTCAACACTGGATAATTTTTTTCAGTCATTCATTATTCTTTTGTTCCACTAATAATTGTGTCATTCGGCATTTATGGAAAAAAATGAGACAGTTTCTTCCCACTAAACATTATTGATGAGCAGAGCCTAAAGTACATACATTCTTGATTCATAATTCTTGAAATTGGTTAATGGGGAGGGTCTTAATTGTCTTTCTTAGAAGAACACTGCACAAATAGATTTATTATTTCTTTAAGGAAAAAAATTGTACCTGGTATTTCTACTTGAAGCAGTGAAAGAAATTTTAGCACAAAAATGGGTATCCAGCATAATGCATCAGTAAATACAATAAAGAAAAAACGTTTGGCAAGTATCATCTCTTTTTTAACTTGATTTGGTATTTCAGTTGCTGTTATGGCACTTTGATGAACACTGTAAAACATGCTTCCATAGGAAAAAACTATGACGATAAATGCTGCCAAGTTAATACCTATTTAGAACACAAGGAATCTTATTAGTGTATATGAACATTTTTTTCAAAACATATAAATAAAACATATCCTTAGGTACTATTATTAAAGATACAAAAAACATAGCATGCATTTTTTTGTTCATAAAGAATTACTAAGGTGGTACACAAAAATTATGAATTTTTTTGAGTTGAAGTTTGTTGAATGAATAATGACGAAATGCTTAATTTTAAAATGGCATATTAAAATTAAATGACAGCAATTCAATAAATATTCGAGCCTTTAAACTTTCTAGTATTAGTGATTTTTTTTCCAAAATGGAATTACTTTGTGCTGTGCTTTGAGAATATTTTTACATTGCTGGTTTAGAACAGTTGTATGTATACTCTTAAGCCAATGATGTGTGTGGCTACACACAAGAATTTGAAAAGATAATAAATACCATGATGTTTATATTATGAAGGCAAAGAGCCAATTTATTTTTTTAAATTTTTTATTTTTTCATATTATGGGGGTACAAATATTGTTAGGGTTACATATATTGCCCCTGCCATTCCTCCCGATGCCCCAAAGGGCCAATTTATATTTGGCTTAGTATTTTTAGGGTGCATACAAGAAATACAAGTGGTTAGTGCTTTTTATTAGGCTGTATCGGGTTGGAATTTATATGATAAAGGTATAATTTTGGTGAAAAAAATCCCTGTTGGGGACGCTGATAGAATTCACACCCACCCATACTGAGAAGAACTGATTAGAAGATGTGAAATAACAATTTATGAGCATTAGAAGGCATAATGAGTTTCATATTGTGAGTTATTCCAGCATTTGAATGAAGAGACTTGTAACACAGAGATTCTTACCAAGAAAAATCGTCACTGAATAAATCTGGGCTCCAATACTTTCCGTAACTTCTGAATGAAGAGGGAAACATACTCCATTGGTGCCATAGTAGTTTCTGAAAAATTCTTTATTACTCAGTGGAATGAAAGCCACTATAAACCCAATAATCCAAATGAGAATCAGAACTGTAATTGTTCTGCATTTTCTGGGTCTCAAGCATCTAAAAGGATACACAATGCAGATGTATTTTTCCAATGTCAGAAATGTTAGAAGTAAAACTGATACTTCTGTGGACAGAATGGCCAAAGACCCCACGAGCTGACAATGAATACTCTCCATCCACAGCTGTGCGTGCTTATTGTATTCTCCACGAAATTTTAGGTCAAATGCTCCAATCACAAATAAATATATTCCCATTAGGCAGTCGGCACCTAGAGGGGTCAGCAAGTTTCACAATTTAGAAAAATAAATAGGTATATTCGAATTATCAATAAACAATAATATTTTTAGTATTAGGAAAAATAGAGAAGTTTTTTCTACCTTGGGAAGAGGTAATTTTTATTATCTTAAGAATTGATTTATGGATGAGGACCTATTCATCAACTCTTTCTGGTAACCGCTCTCACAGCACTCTCTACAGTTAACTATGCAATCATTTCTTCGTTTTCCTTTAAAATGCAAGTCTATACGTGCAGAGATATTGTCTATTTTGTTCTCCATTCTAGACCCATTCCCTAGAAGTGTTAAATAAATGAATAAAATGCAATTATATTGAGCATTCAATTAGGGACCTAGATGAGGATCACATTATTTGGTTCAGCGCTTTCACTGAGATTCTTCCAGCTCAATAAGCTAAGAACATCACCCAAAATCTCAGAGAAAGTAATTCAGAAGTTCCTGTGATAGAGTAATGACTATGAATTTTGAAGCCTATAATTTAGAAGATATGAATAATTATGAACTGCTTTGCAGTCAGTACAATTTTGAGAGGCTTAAATGACTCACCAGAGCTGGTCTAAGCAAAATTGTTTTCTCTGCTTCTCTCCTTCTATTTTTATATCTTTCTTTGTCTCTTTTTAGGCTATCCCATCCCAAACATTAGCTCTCAATGTAATACCCTACTTGGCATATTTGCTTTTTAAACAAACTAACATTACATATCAGAAAGGAGGTGAGATTTTTTTGAGTGTGCAAGTGTTCTTCACCAAGTCCCTAAAACTACTGTATAAATTATAAAGTTGACCCTATTCTTTTAACCTGGAAGTTATATTCTAGACTTCATCAGGGAAATCGAATTTACCTGAAAGTTTGTAACTAACAATACAAATTCTGAGTTCTATTTATTTTGCAACTGGCAGTGGAAAAAACAATTAGACAGACTTTGAACAAGGGTGAGGGCAGTATATAAGCCACCTTATGTAAAAAAGTGGAACATAGGGTAGATTGGTATTTACTTGTTTGAGGCAGTATGGTTAAATTCTAGGCCACCTGACCCAGACTACAAACATCCTGAGGACTGGTTTCTTGCTTATCTCTTTTGTAGTTCCTATTTAACATAATACTTTGCAATCACCTTCCAATTCCTTTTTAAAAAGGAATTAATACTATCTGAAAGTATTTTCTTATTTACATATTTCAGGTTATGAATGGAAAAGATTCCAGTATCTTAGAAACCAGAAAAACAACTAGCTATTAAGTCAATATCTATGAACTGGACATGCAAACAAAAAAGTAAATACAGGTCTGGATGTAAAAATGTGACCATAGACGTTTGCAATTTTATTTGCAGTAAAAGATTTTAGCTGCTTTAACAAAATATTAAGCCTTCGGAGCCACTGTATGAAAGCAAACCAATGAATGAGAGCTTCATTAATCTGTGTAACATGAAAAAATTTTCTTGTTTCGAAAAATTATTTCTTTATTATCACTAAAGTAATTCTATTTTCATCATAGAAAATATAAAAACAACATACAAATTAAAAGGAGAAAAATGTTAAACCCAATAATTCTACCACTCATGGAATTTATTTTCTAATAGCACTGCTTTTTTTTCTATTTCAAAACTATAATTCATCTTTAACCAGGAAATACTCACAACAGAGAGAAATGATTGACATGGCATGCAGCTTGTTTTCAGACCTGATATAAGGTCGCATACAAATCACAAAAATGTTTCCAAAGCAGGTAACTGCAGATACAACCCACACAAATACTCTCTGAATGATGCTTGCCAAGAGATTCTCCAGAGATGAAATTCCATCCGTGTTTGGTTTACAGCTGCGAACGTGAGGTGCATATCCACAATACTGAAATTTCTTAAAATATCTGGTGTACAAAGAGAAGATAAAATAAGATTTTAAATTCAATTCAGTGTCACCATACATTAATACTGGTTGTCTACACTACCTCTGGAGAAAGAAAATGTTTTAATAGGAGACACAGAGGAATGTAAAACAATAGGAATTCTGAAACTTTAAACATCAATTTAATTCTCATTAACTTGATTTCACTGTAAAAGAATGTGTGGGTGAAAATAACAAATAGGCATAATGAACATACAAGTGTTAGACATGTATTAGAATATAAGCTGTTAGCATGTGATCAACAAAATGAACTTATCCAGAGAAACTTTCACTGGGTTTTCAGAATCTAGCAAATGTAAATGCACGTTACATAACTCCTATTGGTGCCGCAACTTTTCTTGCCTTTTAACCCTCAGGGGAAGAGTTAAATGTTTTCTCCTCTGTACTCCTATGACTTTTCTGTTATAGAGGTTACACTGTTATTTGTAACTACTTGCTAACATGCCTACAGCTCACGCTAGATTTTTTTTTTTTTAATTTCAGGAAATTATGGGGGTAAAAACATTTTGGTTACATGATTTTGCCACATCCCAACCATGATTTGAAATGTGCCCTTCCCCCCTACAATGCTCACCATATCCAGTAGTTGTGAGTTTACCCACCCCCAGCCCTCCCTACCCCCAAAGAATATTACTACTGTGTGAGTACCTTAATGTTGATCAGTCAGTACCAGTTTAATGGTGAGTACAAGTGGTGCCTATTCTTCCATTCTTGTGATACCTCACTTAGGAGAATGGGCTCAAGCTCTATCCAGGAAAATATAAGAGGTGCTAGATCACCATCATTTGTTACAATTGAGTAGTAGTCCATTGTATACATATACTATATTTTATTAATCCACTCATGGATTGACGGACACTTGGGTTATTTACACATCCTTGCTATAGTGAATTGTGCTGCCATAAACATTCAGGTGCAGATGTCTTTAATACAGAATGTCTTTTGCTCCTTTGGGTAGATGCTTTGGGTAGATGCTTAATAGTGGTATTGCTGAATCAAATGGTAGTTCTACTTGTAGCTCTTTGAGGTATCTCTAAATTCTTTTCCACAGAGGTTGCACTAATTTGCAGTCCCACCAGCAGTGTAAGAGTGTTTGTATCTCTCCACATCCTCACCAGCATTTTTTGCTTTGGAATTTTTTGACAAAGGCAAATCTTACTGGAGTTGGGTGATATCTCATTGTGGTTTTGATTTGCATTTCCCTAATGATTAGAGATGTTGAGTATTATTTTATATGTTTGCTGGCCTCACACTAGATTTTGATACATAATAAAGAGTACAGTAAATATTTGCTGAGTGCATTCTTTCATCAACAGAGAGCCCCCTCTTGTTGATAAAGATATCACCCAGATAATATTAATAAATAATTACTAGTATGTTACCACCAACACCAATACCATTTATTGAGCATTTTCTAGATAGCAGGAATAAATCCTCAAATGAACTCCATGAGGAAGGTATATTAGCATCACTATAGGAGATGAATCTTCAGTGGAGGCAAATTACTTGTCAGGAAATTTTCTAGAAAATGAAAAAATTGAAATTCAAATGAGATCTATTTGCCTCCAAAGCCATATGTTCTGGCAAAAAATATGAATGATCTTTATAGTATAAAGAGTTACACTAATAAAAGATAGAAACTTGATGATTACAATTTGTCCTGCCAAATTCAAGGTCACGTGCTGATATTTCCATCCTGTTATATATCCACCTTCTCTGGGAACTATTAAGAAGAGGAGAGCAGAGCATGAAGAAAGAAAGCGTGTTGATTGCTACTTCACTTTGTTTTATGTGTCTCAGGCTGAAGTTTTGCTTTTATCAACAGAATTATAAGAGATATTTCTTTGCTGGTTTGGCTGCCTGGTGTTCAGTTACCCTTCTGGTAATAGTGTCCTGATTTCCTTTGTGGGAATCACTTCTTCGCTCTGTGAGAAGTCATGGTGGGACCATCAGTGGAGGCGCTCCCTTAGTCCACAGCAGGTAAGTGCTCTGAGCAAGACCAATTAGACTTTCTCTCCTGGAACTCTGGATCTTACTGAATGAGTTGGGTGGATAACTCCAGCAGTGCATGCATAAGACCACTCTTGCTGCCATGGTTTCTGCCCATTTCAAATCTGTTCCTTAGATTTTGTGAGCCATATCATTTTCTCCCAATAAATTATGTTTTGCTTAGTTTAGTCAGATTGTTTTATGTGTGCAAGCAAGCAATCTTTTATATGCATTATCTCTGAGGAATTATGGAAAACAAAACCAGTGTGCTGTGTTAGACTTAAAATATAAGTGAGATTATACAGTTGACAATGGCTGACAAGACACTTTCTCCCATCCAAGTACTAACCAGGCCCGACCCTGCTTAGCTTCCGAGATCAGAAGAGATCAGGTGCATTCAGGGTGGTATGTCCATAGACTGACAAGACACTTTCTAAATGATTGGAAATTAATTACCATGGAATGGATCATTCTAATATCTGCTATAAGATTGTATTCAAGTAAAAAATGTTTCTACATAAAAAATGAATTCAAAAGTACAACCAAATACACTATTTGTATAAAAGATTTTTCAACATTTACCATTTCATCTGTGTACATTACTCCAATTATGCCCTGACATCGGGGGCAATTTTCACTGAGGGGAATTTCTTCTTACCTTCTTTTATCTACGGCAATTATTTATTTACAATTATTTTACATTTTAGAAATTCCTGCTTCTTCATCAAATAGCACTGTACCACATGTATACAAATTACTAGCTCATTGGGTAAACATCTATATCTGTGGATAGTACCCAGAGCTGAGGAGAACGTCTAACAAGACTGAATGGGTTCTTCCCATACTCATGTTTCCTGATATTCAAGAAATCTCCTCTGACATTCTACCATACTATGGAAATCCAAAAATCACCCCATTCAATATCAAAGTTTTAAGAGCTAATTATTGTTTAGGCATGTCTTAGTCTATTTGGGCTGTTATAACAAAAATACCATGCACTGAATGGCTTGAACAACAAACTCTTATTTCTCACAGTTTCAGATGCTGGGAAGTTCATGATCAAGGTGCCAGAATAAGCAGTGTCTGGGGAAGACGTGCTTCCTGGCATGCAGATGGTCATCTTTTTGTTATGTCTTCACGTGGCAGAAGGATAAGGGAGGTTTCTGAAGTCTCTTTCATAGGGCTCTAATCTCATTCATGAAGGCTCTGCCCTCATCACCTAATCACCTCCCAAAGGCTCAACCTTCTAATGGCATCACACTGGAGTTAGGATTTCAATGTATGAATTTTGGGTAAACACAAACATTACATCTATAGCAGTCAAATTAGTAGGAAAGATTATTGATTAGGTGCATTGGGTATGGATGTATTATCACAATATGTGTGGAAACATAAAGATTAAAATCAAGGTGAAGAACAAAAGAAACCATATACTTACATGTGAGAGAGATTCATAAGAGGTCTAAACATCCTTTGCTGGATATTTGCAATTTCAATTCCCTCTAGGCTGCTAAAAATACCAAATTAATAATCAATCAAAAGAATATGTGTTATACATAGTATAATAAAGTGAATTTTTGTGAAGGACAATTTAATGAAATGCTTTTTAGTTAACAGTTAATGTGAATGAAATATTCATAGTCAGCCCACCCTAGACACTTCCCTAACTCCTCTTCTTTTTGATTGGTTATTTACATACATATTATCTTCCCTATTTGACTTTTTTTGGATCCTCACAGATCATGACACAATGCTTTGTGTATACTAGATACTCAATAAATATTTGTAGAATAAATTAACAAGCATTATTCTTTGGACAATATTATAATAGGAGAAGAGTTTTTATGTCTTTGAAATTTTTCTAATAATTTTTAAATAATACATTTTTTTCTAATAAAATGTCATTTTACTGAGGGAACATTTAAATAAACTGAAGCTTTTCTTTTTAAGGCAATTCATAGATCCTAACAGAATTTTTATCTTTTTTGTTTTTCATGGTGCAGGGAATGATTTATATAATCTACAATATTTCATCTTGGGGTAAAGATGCCTGTAACAAATGCTTAAATTCTCAGTGCTAATGGAGTAATGAATATGCACACATGCATTTAGAGGGCCAAAGCAAACAATCCTATGTAAACTCCTGGTGACTAATAGAAAAATACAAAATGATTCAGTGTTGTTTAATTTTTAGCTTATAAATATGTAAGACAAAACTAATAGCTGTCTGTTATAGGTCATCAAGCACTCATCTTATTTGTTTTTGTGGAGCTTAACTCCTAGTAGTATATAGCTATATATCCTGGAAATAAAGCTTATGATTTGAAAGATTCTATAAAAATATACATAATTAGTACTTAAATAACAATTTAATGATAAAACTATTGCCATATGTGAATACTTACAGAGACTTGAGTTTGACAAGATAATCAAATTGGTTTGCTTCAATTTTCTGGATTGGGTTATAGGAAAGATTCCTATTTTTAAAAAAAGGCAGCAGTAAGTCATTTCTGAAAATTGCTTGAGTAATGAAAGATTTGTGGTTACTTTTAGACATTAAAAAACATATAGTACAACTCAAGGTGGATTAAAGGCTTAAAATGTAAAACTATAAAACCAGTAGAAGAAAAAAAAAAGAGGAAAACCTTCAAGATATGGGTTTGGGCAATGATTTTTTGAATATGGCCCCCAAAATACAGGCAACAAAAGTGAAATAGACAAATGGGATTATATCAAACTAACAAGCCTCTTCACAGCCAAGGAAACAAACAGCAGAGTGAAGAGACAACGTATGGAATGATGGAAAATATTTGCAAACCAAATACCTGATAAGGGATTAATATCCAAAATGTATAAGAAACTCAAACAACTCAGTAAGAAAATAAATAACCTGGTTAAACAATAGGCAAAGGGCCTGAATAGACATTTCTCAAGAGAAGACATACAAATGGACAACAGGTATATGAAAAAATGCTCAGCGTCACTAAGCATCAGAGAAGTACAAATTAAAACCACAATGAAATATCACCTCACACCTTTTAGGATGGCTTTTATCAAAAAGATGAAAGATAAATGCTGGTGAGGATAAGAAGAAAAGGTTATGTTTGCACGCTGTTGGTTGGAATGTAAATTAGCACATCCATTATGTAAAACAGTAAGGAGGTTCCTCAAAAAATTAAAATAGAACCATCATATCGTTCAGCATTCCCACTACTTGGTATATATCCAAAGGAAATGAAAGCAGTATGTTGAAGATATATCTGCTGCTGTTCACTGCAACATTATTCATAATAGCAAAGGTATGGAATCAAACCAAGTGTCCATCAAAGGATGAATGGATAAAGAAAATGTATATATACACAATGAAATACTCTTCAGCCTTTAAAAAGAAGGAAATTCTGTTATTTGCAACAACATAGATGAACCTGGAGGATATTATGTTAAGCAAAATAAGTCAGGCACAGAAAGACAAATCCTACATGATCTCATTTATATATGGAATCTAAAAAAAGTTGGACTCACAGAAGCAGAGAGTAGAATGGTGGTTACCAGGCAGCGAGGGAGGGATTGGGATATATTGGTCAAAATGTGCAAAATTTCAGTTAGAAAGGGGGAATAAGTTTAAGAAATCTATTGTATAACATGATGACTATAGCTAATAACAATGTATTATATTCTTGAAAATTGGTAACAGAGTAGATTTTAAATGTTCTTACCACAAAAAAGGGCAAGTATGCGAGGTAATGCATCTATTAAGCTCAATTTAGCCATTTCACAATGTATACATATTTCAAACATCATGTTGTACATAATAAATATATACAAATTTTTGTTTGCCAAATAAAAAGTATAATAATAGCACTTGGGTCATAGGGTTGATTGTGTATTTAAGTGAATTAGTGAGACACAACACATAGAACAGTGCCTGAATGGTGGTAAGTACTCTGTGATTGTGATAATGATAGAGCAAGAGCTAATACAACATGTGTCTGGAGGTAGAGCTGTTACTAAAGGACTCCCACCAGAGAAGTGGAAGGGTGCTCAGAAAGAGCCATACCTATTTCACATTGTGCCTAGGATCAGAAGTGGTTTAAATAAAATACAATAAAATAAAATAATCTCATTCAGTAAAGTCAAAAGTTGAATTAATGAAATCATGCTACATACTTTTGACAATGAATCTTATGTCGAAGAGTGACATATTGTACTAGTCTTTTGTGAAATGTGAAATGAAAATTAGACTTTAAAGGGAATTTATTTATTTATTTTTTAAGAGATGGGGGTCTTGCTATGTTGCCCAGGCATGATTTGAACTCCTGGGGTCAACGGATCTTACTGTCTCAGCCTCACAAGTCACTGGGATCACAGGCATGCATCTCTTTAAAGGGAATTTAAAGCTGAATTTAAAGGGAGAGAACTTCAGAATCTTTGTAAAACAACACTTTGAAACAAGAATAATTGATTAAAGGAAACTTCTCTGAAAAAGGTCTCTTTCAAAAAATTTACTCATTATTAGAGCATTAGTTTGGTGAGGAATGAAGAGAACTTCTGGGGGAGCCATTTTTTTTTTTTTTTTTTTTTTGCAATCACACAAGAGGAGGTTTATTTTCTGGCTAGCCAGGGTCCAAGCCCCAGAGCACCAATGCAGTGGCCACTCTCGCAGGCAAGGACCCTGACGGAGCAACGGCATGCTTTTATCCCCATGGTGCACAAGCTGCGCACAAGCCGACTACGCATGGATCATGCGTTGACCTTTAAAATGATTGGTTGCCCACTATTGCCTTTTGAAATAATTGGCGGGTTGGTTGCCCTCTATTGCCTGATGGGCCAGTCACCTGTGCTTCAATGACCTCATCCCATAATTCCCCTTACAGCGGTGTAGCAAGCAAGCAATGACCATAAGCAAAGGTTTGCGGTTAGCTCATTGCCCCACCCAAGTACATTCCCGACAATTGAGAATTCCTCTGCCCTTCCTCTGTCCTACAAATTCCTCTGTCATTCCTCTGCCCTACATTCCCCCTTTCTCAGGTAGCAGACGAGCACTCTTGCTCGTCCTCAAGGTCTCTTAGGTGCTCTAGTTCTATAGCACTTGACCGTAGCTGCTGATATTGTTGTTGCAATACTAGTGGCTGGACAGTGTTTATCCGTTCTTTCACAAAAGCTACTAGTCTATTAATTACACATGGCGCGAAAGTAAGGACTAAGATTAGCATAATGAGTGGGCCTAGTAGGGTGGGTGGATAGTAGCGTTGTTAACCAGGGGGAACTGTTAAACCAAGACTCAAACCAACCTGCTTGCTGTTCATATTCCCGTTTGCGGCGGGCAAGCCCTTCCCTGACCTTAGCTATAGATTCTCTAACAACTCCTGTATGGTCTGCATAGAAACAACATTCTTCTTTGAGGGCAGCACACAGTCCTCCTTACTGGAGGAATACTAGATCTAACCCCCTCTGGTTCTGGAGCACTACCTCGGATAGGGAGGTTAGTGACTTTTCTAGGTGTGAGATTGAATCTTCTATCCTTGCAATATCTTCATCAACAGCTGCCCTCAGAGTATTAAACCCTCTTTGCTGCATTGCCAGAGAAGAGATACTAGTTCCTGCTCCTATTGTCCCTAAGCCAAAAAGAGTAGCCAGGGTTATGGCTGTGAAGGGCTCTCTTTTTCTTTCAGAAATTAGGTTGGTGACTCTTCGCCCTACTATGCCCTCATACATTGTCTCCTCAGTGTGGTATATTATTTTTGGGAACACTAACACCATTATACAGTAATCTTTAGACCCATGTAAGGTTATGGGGTTGGTGGGTGTTCGGGTCAGTAAGTACAGCTGTAGGTCTGGGGGAGCCATTGTTAAAGAAAGAAGGAAAGAGATGAAGAATGGCAATGAAAAATGAGTTGTATAAAAGAAATGAAGTGGACTCAATAAAGTAGAAACAGAAGAAAATGACTTCACATATAAAAGGACCTAAACCTGAGTAAGAGTGACACCTTATCTCTTACTAAAAATATAAAAAATTAGCCAGGTATGGAGATGTACACCTGTAGTCCCAAATATTTGGGAGGCTGAGGCAGGAGGACCACTTGAGCCCAGGAGTGTGAGGTTGTAGTGAGCTATGATGATGCTAATACCATCTAGCTGGGGTGATGGAGTGAGACTCTGTCTCAAAAAAAAAAAAAAAAAGACATATGTGGACATATATGAAAATCTATAATTAATATACTCAGTAGTGAAAGACCAAAAGATTTCCTCTAAGATCAAAAACAAGACAAGGGTGCCTCTTTTACCACTTCTATTCAACATAGTATTGGAAGTCCTAATCAGAGCAATTGGTGAAAAAAAGAAATAAAAGGCATCCAAATTGGAAAAGAAAGAGAAAAATTATCTCTGTTTACAGTTGATGTGGTCTTATATGTGGAATACGATAAAGATTTGACAACAACAAAAATAACCCTGGTAGAACTAATAAACAAATTCAGCAAAGTTGCTGGATACAAAAGCAACACACAAGAATCAGTTGTGTTTCTATATACAATGAACAATCCGAAAAAGAAATTAGGAAAATAATTCCATTTACAATAGCATAAAAAGAATAAAATATTTCAATAAACTTAACCAAGGGGCAGGGGAAGATATGTACCCTATAAACTGGAGAATGCTGCTGAAAGAAATTAAAGATGACACCAATGAAAGGAAAGATATCCTGTGTTCATGAATCAGAAGACTTAATACTGTTAACCCTTCACACTCGCTTGCTTTTTTCTTGATTCTTTTATTCTACTCGGCATTTAATTTTTTAAATACCCCAGATTTTACAAAGTGCGGGCAGTAGAATAAAAAACTGGAGTTTCTTTTCATACAAACTTATTTATTTGGATTTTTTATATTTCAAATTATTGATACATTCAAATAGTAATTTTAATCTCTATAATTTTTGCTAACCCTTGTCTTAACCCTTTGCTAACTCGACATCCGAGTGCAAAGGGTTAAGACATCAATATTGCCAAAAATTTTCCACAGATCCAATGTAATCTCTATCAAAATCTCATTGACATTTTTTTCAGAAATATAAAATACATCCTAAAATTTATATGGAAATTCAATGGAGCCCAAATAGCTAAAACAATCTTGAAAACAGAGATCTTATACTATTTATTTGATTTTAACACTTGCTACAAAGCTACAGTAATCAGACAGTGTGGTATTGGCATAAAGACTGTCATATAGACTAATGGAATAGAATAAAGAGGCTGGAATAAACCCACACATGTATGGTCGAATGATTTTCAACAAGGGTGCCAAGGCCACTCAATGGGGAAAGAACAGTCCTTTTAACATACTGTGTTGGGAAAACTGGACAACCACATGCCAAAGAATGAAGTTAGATCTTTACCTTACACTATGCACATAAATTAACTCAAAATGGACTAAACACCTAAATTTAAAAGCTAGAACTATGCAACTCTTAGAAGAAATCAATAGGGGAAAATCTTCATGACATGACATCAATGACATTTGGTGCCATTTCTGATATGACATCAAAAGCATGAGTAACAGAAGAAAAAATAGAAAAACTGAACTAAATCAAAATGAAAAACTTTTGTGCACCAAAGAACAACTAGAAAGACAACCCATGTGATGGGATAAAATATTCACAAATAATATATCTGAACAGGGGTTAATATCAAGAATATATAAAGAACCCCTACAACTCAACAACTACAATAAAACCAAACGAGCCAATTAGAAAATGGACAGAGGACTTGAATAGATTTTTCTTCAAGAAGATATCCAAATGACCAATAAGGACATGGAATAATACTCAACATCACTAATCATTAGAGAAACGCAAATCAAAACCATAATGTGATACTATTTCACATTCATAGGATGGCTATTATTTTAAAAAACCCAGAAAATAATAAATGTCGGAGGATGTGGAGAAATTGGAACCCATGGGCATTGCTAGTGGAAATGTAAAATGGTATAACTCCTGTGGAAAATAGAATTAACCATAGAATAAAAATAGAAATACAGTACTGTACGATCCAGCAATTTCTTTTTCTGAGGTTATATACCCCCCCCAATTAAAAGAATGCAGAGACTTGAACAGTTATGTACACCTATGTTCATAGCAGCATTATTCACAATATCCAAGAGATGGGAGCAACCCAAGTGTTCATTAATGGATGAATTGATAAATACAATGTATTATACACACACAATAAAATATTATTCAACCTTAAGAAGTAAGGAAATTCTGACTTATGCTACACCATAGGTGAACCTTGAAGACATTATGCTAAGTGAAATTAATCAGTCACAAAAAGACAAATATCCTATTATTTCACTTATATGAGGTACCTAGGGTAGTTGAATTCATAGAGACAGAAAGTAGAAGGGTGGTTGCCAGGGGTAAAGGGGAAGAGTGAATGGGGAGTTAGGGTTTAATGGTTACAAACTTTCAGTTTTGCAGGATGAAAAAATTCTGGAGGTGGCTGGTGATGATGGTTGTGTAACAATGTGAATATAGTTAATGCCATTCAACTGTATATTTAAAAATGGCTAATTTTATGTTATGTGTATTTTACCACAACTTAAAAAATAATAAAATAAAGAAATGAAGTGGCAAAATTAATACCAGTCTTACAATTGTGACAGCTCCTTCAGATCCTTAAATACATGCGGTGGAAGATTTTCAATCTTATTACTTCCTAAATCCCTAGGGAAATAATTGCAAACATGTCATATTATTTTCTTAAGACTTTATTCATTGTTCTGAAATTCATTAGGAAACTATTATACAACTTTTCAACAATGTAATTAGTGAGTTATATTAATTACCAGAAGTCTAAAAGTTTAAAAAAAGGAGTACAATGGGAAAATATAAAAATATTTTATCCCATTTTATCATTCCTTTAGAGACAAATACTTGATGATATTTGATCTGGTTTTAATTGATCCAGTTTTCTAATTCTAAATAATATATGTGTTTTACCCATTCTTCCCTTCCCTCCCTTTTCTCTCTCTTTCTCTTTTTTGTATTAGACTATGAATATGATTTGGAAACTTAATTTTTTCTCTTGCTTGGGTTTACTATGACTGTCAAATTGAAATGTATTATTTCAAGTGCAAGTTTCTTTCACAGCTGATATACATAGGATGTCATATTCTCCTGGGGCCGGATACTTTGAGTGTCATCTTATGTATGTGTACAGGGTCTGCCTAACATGGCATGACCTTGTAGCTTAGTTCTGAGAAGGTTTTTATAGCAGCAGCCCTCGTGGCACCTTTGACAGTGTCGGCTCTCATATTCTTCTATAAAAGATAATAAGTTTCAGTTGGCTTGAACTCTCTAAGGTGATCAAGAGATACTAAGAGAAAGCCTAACCACTTCCCCTATCCATCTCCAAATACTATTAGTTTTCACTGGATGTGTGGGAGAACAGATGTATTTGTTACATATGTTGGTTTGCTTATAAGTCAAAAGTTAGATTATTCGACTTTGAAGGGCAGGATAATTTTAGATTGAGATTTCAAAACTATAAATAAATAGCTGACATAATCTGACAAATATTACAAATGTCTTTGCTGTAAAGTCACTCTTGAGACTAGGTTTGTTGTTTCAACATTTATGGGTGAAGATAGATTGTTTTGATTTGACAACTGAAAAAATGGTTCTAAAACTTCATCCCTTTCATAAAATCCTTTAATAGCTCATGTTGCCTAGATGATGAAATCAAAGCCATTTAGTGTGACACAAGAAGCCTTTAAATATCTAATTATCTTGCCTCTGACTATCTATCTTTCTAGTCATGTTCCCTAACACTTTCTACTCAAAGTACTTTTCACCATGGCCCGAGTGCACTTCAGTATTCTAACCTCCATGCTTTTACATGGATGCTTCCTTCTACCTGTAATGACCTTTCCTGCTTGCCCTTCTGGTGATCTTATATTCATTCTTCTATACTCTACCCAAATGTCATTCTCTATGAAACCTATGATGCCCATGGAGGTTAGGTGTTCTTTCCTCTGTTCTCTCATACACTCCTCTTGCACACTTCTTTGAAAGCACGTATTACACACATGGGCACGTGTAACATTATATTAAAGCTGATACTGTATATATGTGCTTCCCTTCTGATGCAAGTGAACTCTTTGAGTACCAGAAGGACACATTTTCATCTTGGGCTACTCAGTGCCTAGCTCAGCTTTGCTACTCTTACTGTGCCCAATCAGAGGACTGCTAATGACTGAGTCTATATGCTTCATATTTAGGTAAAATGGGACACAGTTCCAGTTCTTTGTATGAGAAACCAAGTAAAACATTGATCATATTAATAACACAATGTGAAAAACAGATTTAAAGTAATCCCCTAGGATATTTTTAAATAAAACTCTAAATATCATATTCAATAATTTATGGTGGGAATGTGAGTTTTGGTTATCAGAGAAAATTTCAGAATAGAGTTTCTTTCTTTCTTTCTTTCTTTCTTTCTTTCTTTCTTTCTTTCTTTCTTTCTTTCTTTCTTTCTTTCTTTCTGACAGGATCTCACTCTGTTGTCTGCACTAGAGTGCAGTGGGGTCATCAGAGCTCATCGCAACCTCAAACTCCTGGGCTTGAGCAATCCTCCTGCCTCAGCCTCCTCCTAAGTGGCTGGGACTACAGGCCCATGCCACTATGCCTGGCTAATTTTTCTATTTTTTTTTTTTTGTAGAGATGGAGTCTTGTTCTTGCTCAGATTATTCTCAAACTCCTCCCTCAAGCAATCCTCCCACTTCGACCTCCCAAAGTGCTAGGATTACAGGTGTGAGCCACTGCACCCAGCCTGGCAAATAGTTCTTACAGCATGAATCATGTAATGGGATATAGTGTTGGTCTAGATACTAAGTTACATGTGAAAGAGCCATTTATTACGCTTCAGTTTGGGAAAGTTGGGCTAAACATAATTGGTCTCAAGATCCATTTCTGAATGAGCTCAGAAAGCACCTTATCAATTAGAGTAGTTGACTTTAAAAGCTCAAATTAAATCAAGTATGTGGCAAAGATTTCCTGGCACTAGAATTACTTAAAGTCCTCTGTGGCAAGTGAGTCCTGACTGTTTGTCCTCCTTAGCTCTATCAGTGTGATTGAGCCTGGAGAGGCACAGAGTATATTCCAACTAGCTTTCTAAAGCACAGTGTAGATCCAGACCCATATATTGAAATTCATCACCTCTTAGAAAACATCCCATTTGTCCTTGTAAACTTGATTTTTCAGGCAAGTGTTTAATATGGGATTAGACAGGCTTTAGGCTGGACTAATTATTGGCCTTGGTGACCCTTTCTTCAGCTTTCGTTCTGTCCTTTTTCTCTGAACCTGGATTAGCACTGGTTATGGGCTAAGCTGATTGTGTTCCATGTTCATTGCTGGTTACTAAAACATAAAATCCACACCTGACAGCTACCATGAAGGTTAGTTACGATTTGGAAGAACTATACTCTGATATTCAGGTAGTGATTTCAAATGAGATAAAACAAAAAACAGTATGGATCCCTTGACTAACTTGTATTCCAATGGCTAAATAATAGCTTTGGATCACCTAGCTGCACCTCTCCCTACCATTGGGAATAATTTTCTATGTGCTGATGATGTGGTTCAATTGCCATACAGGAATTTTTACAATAGATGATTGGTTCTAATTATCTATTGAGATTTTCCGGTACATTTTGTAAATGATTGGTACTGTCTACCACAAAATGCTTCAGGTTAATCACTACAAAAAAAAAAAAAAATGTTGGGTTTTTTTTTTTTTTTATTTCAGCATGTTATGGGGGTACAAGTGTTGGGTTTTCAATGGCTTATTCATCGATGTTTTGGAGCAGAATGCAGGATTATTTCTGAGAAATGTTCGTGCTCATGGCATATGTATGTATTTCTTCTGCCAGTGTTCAGTTAAAGTGTCCAGGTGTTATGTTTATAACATTTTAGTTATATTATTTAATTTATATGAAAAAGTTTTAAGAAATCAATTTTCTGCACAGCTAATTGTCAAAACATATAGATGTGTCCACACTCCATATTCTTTCCAGAAAATTGATACTGAAAAATAAAAAATTGTCTGAAGAATATGCACTTTCTCCATCTATTTTGTTCTGACAATCAACTACAATGTGCTTGGATCACAAAGTTTTGGTTCACCATAAAGTTGTTTTAATGCTTATTGGAATCAAGTCCTTAATATTAAAAAAGGGGCATTATAAAAATAACTGTTTTAACGTATCTCTCTTCCATTATTACAGGTAGGGATATTATCCGCAGCAGTGTCTAATTTCCTTATGGATCTAAGATTATCCTTCCCTTTCAGAATCAGCAAAGTGATATTTTTTAGTCTTATGGTCTCTGAGTCCTAATGCTTCAAGGCCCTTAAAGACAAATTTGCTGTCCCACTCTAGCAGTGGAACAGAGTGGTATAGGATGCATTTAATTATTAATTTTACACTGACTTAATTCTTTCTGTACAGCTCTGTTTCCTTTACTTTCTTCAAATATTTATTTTATATTTTTATTTTATGTATATTTTTTGTCAGCTATCTGAATTCCTTTGTGATGCAAGGTATAAACATATATATTAATAAATAATGCTTAGAAAGAGGAGACATTTCTTAAATGTATACGACCATATATGTACACCAAATATGAAATAAAACAGTAGAAAAAATTCTTAACAATATATGCTCAGTCAAACTTACAATTCATCTAGTTTTTGGAGAGGAGCAAATGTATTTTCATTTAAGTGATTAATTTTGTTTTTCCTCATTACCCTGAAAGTAAAAAGAAAAACACATTGTAACTTCTTGAGGTAACTGGTACGTGAATTAACAGCCCGCAAAAACAAATATAATGAATAGATAGTGCATTTTCACATCAAGATATTTTGAAGTAATATGACAAATTATCCAATTTGATTTTAATCTTCAATTTCTCAAATCTTTTAATGATGATAATAAAAAAGTCTAATTCAAAATGTTGAGTGAAATAAGGAAGAGCTTTGCAAGAGAAATAGCGGAAACGTTAACTCTTCAGAATACAGACGGAGTATCTTGCAACTAAGAGCAGAAGGAATTGTTTTAGGCTCATCTCTTCGCTCTGTGTATCATGTCTGTCAAACAAAGTACTCCACACATCATAGCACTGATACTCATTTGGTAGTTGATGTGATTTTGGGTGAAGCTGCCTAAGGAAGTGTGATCTTAGCTGGACTAATTCAGAAGAATCTCTCTAGTTTGGGATACTGAATCAGATTAACTCTTGACAGTTCATTTCTGCACTGATACAATGTGTTATGAGCTAGCATAAAGGACCAACTCACAGAAAAGTTTCAAAGGGTTTCAAGTCTCTTTTTTTTTGAGACAGAGTCTTGCTTTGTTGCCCAGGCTAGAGTGAGTGCCGTGACGTCAGCCTAGCTCACAGCAACCTCAAACTGGTGGGCTCAAGAGATCCTCCTGCCTCAGCCTCCCGAGTAGCTGGGACTGTAGGCATGCACCACCATACCCGGCTCATTTTTTCCTATATATATTAGTTGGCCAATTAATTTGTTTCTATTTTTAGTAGAGATGGGGTCTCACTCTTGCTCAGGCTGGTTTCGAACTCCTGACTTCGAGCAATCCGCCCACCTTGGCCTCCCAGAGTGGTAGGATTACAGGCGTGAGCCACCGCGCCCGGCCGGTTTCCAAGTCTTTAAACATGGTGTGACATGCCTTCAAGTTGGCCTTGTTGTATCCTTAAGTATTTATTTCCTCCTTGCACTCCAAACCATTACCACTTTTCCCCACTATGCTGGGACTGTAAGAGCTCAACACCTGTCAAGAGGCTATCCACAAATGATTTCTTCATAAAGAAGTTTCCTTAAAAATAAATACAAGTAGAATAGAAAAGAAATTCTAAGTTTTTCAGATATCTATTTAGTCTGTGTCCTTCGGGTGCAATTTGGTTTCCTTTGGGCAATTTGCACGAACTATTTTGCATTTCTGATAGAAAGCACTCTGAAGCTGAAGATTGCTGAACTCACTCAGCAGAGAATTCAAACTGGAAATTGGAATGAGGAGCATAATTGAAGGAAATATACTGTTGAATCAGGGATAGCTATTGCACTGCTTACACAGGAATCCTATGTATCCTAGGATAATGGTATTCAAACTTTTCCCATAGAAACACAGAGTAAAAAATTTATTTTATGTTGGGGCATAAGATGCACACACACTCACAAGCCAAGACTCATGAAACAATAAACTTATTGTCTGCATTGCACTCTGATATAATCAATTCAATTCAATTCTATCTCATTTAAAAATGCTGGTCAAGGAATACTAAATTGATTGTGCTACATTGCTTCCATTACTTACCCTGTTTCCCTGAAAATAAGACAGGGTCTTATATTTATTTTTCCTCAAGAAGACACCCTAGGGCTTATTTTCAGGGAATGTGTTATTTTTTTAAGTACGGTACAATAATCTACATTTATTCAAATATAGTTAAGTCATCTTCTGGAACATCATCATAAGTCTCCAAACCCTGAATTCCATTCTGAATCTCTTGCGACTCTATTTCCTTTAGAACCATTGGCCCCAATCTTTCATGTCGAGCAATAGAGCTCTTATAGGGCAGATGAGAAGGGCTGCTCGTCTTCTTCACCGCTCTGCAACGAAATGCATGGGTTGTGCAGATACTCTGCTTAGCCACGCCCATCACTAGGTCTTATTTTCGGGGTAGGAATTATATTTAATGCTAGGGCTTATTTTATGGGTAGGTCTTATTTTCGGGGAAACATAGTACTTCTGTGTTGCAACCCAGAGTTTGAAAAATGTTCTGGAAAAATAAGCTGTGAATGGGAGACTTGGGTTTTTATATTGAAGAAAGCTGGAACATCCTTTACTTTCACAAAAAAGGCAACATGAATTTAAAATAAGGCAGAGAGGCACAAGAAGAAATTATACTCAATAACATTCTAAGGTTTATCCTGGTGTCCATAATTATATCCTCAGGGGTGTGAGCGTTCTGCAGTATTTTTTAAAATCTTGATTGTAACTAAAATTTTTTTGACAATGATAAAGAAAACCTTAATTTTTGCAGTAACAATTTGCAAAAGGTAAACATTTTTATAGTCTAAGACTTCAATTTAGTGTTTCTCACCCTGCAATACAAGGATATACTCTTGGTGTTCTATGATAATTTTTTTTCCATTAAAATGGATCTGTGTATTACTTAACTTTGACAAAAACACATCTCAGATAATACAATGCCATTTTGATTATTCATGTATGTTTAAATCTGTGGTCACCCTGGGTTTTTGGAGGCTCAGATAGAAGCATAAATCTGTGATTACCCTTGGTTTGAACTTCATGTACTTCAGTGTCAACAAACTTCAAGTAGAGAGTGAACATTTTTCATAATTACTATGCATATTTCTGTTAGTTTCTGTCCGCATAAATGATTCATTTTGTTTGTAAGGAGATACAATATTACTTCAAAAGCATGAAATATTACTTACAAAACAGTTAAATTACTGCAGGAAATAAAAGTCAAATTTCTTAAATTATGGATATGGTTGCCTTCAAAGTCCCTGGAACACAAAGATAAAACATGATAAAGCTAAATTTTAATCATAGGCAGAAATAAATTGGCTGAGAATTATTTACCTTCTAATAAAATATATTTTCTTCACATACTGTTTATTCCACATAAACTCTCACTTGTTGCCACTTATATATATAGCTGAAACTATATATATGTATATTTACTGTTTTTTCCTATGTTAATAATAAAAATGTTTTGAGTTATATCTGTATCATGTGTTCATATGGGCATGTATAATATATTATTCTGAGAAACCAAAATGAATGAGAAGTCAAATTGAAAATGCTTGTTAGGTAAACAATTTATTAACCGATATCTAATATTGAGCCATATTAAATATTTGTCCAGAGTTATCAATGGCGTTTTCCTAAGTGCTGTGATGCTATTTTGCTACAGAAGCTGCTACTGCCGAAACAACATTTAGCTTCTACCTCCCTAGCATGACCACTCCCCAGAAAAGAATTCTCAATAATCTTTTACTCCTGGAAACACTCTTGTTTGCTTTTTTATATCGTCACAAAGGCCAGTACCGTGGGGGGACAACAGGCTGCACTTGGCTCTCCATTCTCAATTCTGGGAGCCACGTTTGTGTAGATCCTCCTAGAACTCCCTTGCTGTCTGAGGCTACATTACCATAAGGAGTCTGGTCTGAGTATCAAAATTTATCAAAAATTTATGTTTTATTGTGTCTTCTTTATGGTTATCATGAAGTTATTCTTTTATTGATTCCTTTTTTTTTTTTTTGAGACAGGGTCTCCTTCTGTCTCCCGTGCTAGGGTGCAGTGGCAAGAGCCTAGCTCACAGCAACCTGAAACTTCCGGGCTCAAGTAATCCTCCTGCCTCAGCCTCCCAAGTGGCTGGGGACTACAGGCGTGTGCCACCACATTCAGCTAATTTTTTTAATTTTTTGTAGAGATGAGGTCTTGCTATTGACCAGGCTGGCTCTTCTTTTATCTTAAAAATAGGTGTATGGTGGAAGTTTGTAGAGCAGGGCAGAATGTTGGCTGAGGTTTAGGCATAGACTTTCAAAAGTAAACGCTGGCCCTAAAATCTACTCAGTCTATCCCAACACTCAGTACTGGTCACCACATGTTATAATATACAGCTATTCAGGAATAACTGTGACTAAAACATATGAGCACAAGTGTGACAAAACTACTAAAATCTACATGGGAAACATGGCAACATTACAGAGGTACCTGTATTCTGCTGGCTGGCACGTGGGATAGTCAGTTTTATTTCAGGCCCTGCATTAAAAAGAGATGTCTACAAATCAAAACACATCTGGAAGGTCTGAAACACCAGGCTGCAATGGATGTAGAAATCAAGTCAATAGAAGAATATAGGGTATATTTATAAGAGAAGAGCAAATTAAGAGGGATATATTTGAAATCAGGCTGTAGAATACTTTTTCTATGTTGCAGTAGATTGCAAAATTAGATTTATTGATTGAAAGACACAAAAATTTCATATGTAAGCTAAATTTAAGTCTCTGTAGCAATTTATGGTGTCCAGAGAATAAGCTCCTTATCACTACAGGTATTTAGCAGAGGCAATATACCATATCTCAATAATTTTGCAGACAAGATTTCTGTACTGTGTGGGATATTGTATTAGAATCTTAAATCTTGATTCTACATCACTCTTCTAAAGAAATATTTCTTTTTTTCTGTTAAGTTGGAAACTAAGCACTTATAGCACTCCTTTTTTCTGCTTTAGGTTTGGCCAAGGCTTTTGGCCTCTTATAACTTACGTTGTCAATGTCAGAGACTGGCTGATTTCTTGTTTTATTGCTAACCATTTCCATGAATCTACCACCAGGTGGTGATGCTCTCCTAAGCCTCACAAAATGCTCTTACTAAAATGTGTTGATATCCCTGTTTAGGTACATATGTAACTTTGTTTTTTGTTAAGCTGGCAAAAATATTTGTCAGTACTAATTTACGAATTTGTAAAAATCAAAAAGAGGCACACATTGAGGCACAAATTAGGAACATTTGATTAAAGTGTTAGTTTCCTTTTGGGTTTATTTCAACCTGGAGTTGTACAATAAATTTGCTTTGACTTTCTTCCTAAAATTAGTTTTAGCCTTTGGGCCGGGTGCAGTGGCTCAAGCCTGTAATCCTAGCACTGTGGGAGGCTGAGGTGGGCGGATTGCTCGAGGTAAGGAGTTCGAAACCAGCCTGAGCAGGAGCAAGACCCCGTCTGGACTTTAATTAGCCAACTAATATATATAGAAAAAATTAGCCGGGCATGGTGGCGCATGCCTGTAGTCCCAGCTACTCAGGAGGCTGAGGCAGTAGGATTGCTTGGGCCCAGGAGTTTGAGGTTGCTGTGAGTTAGGCTGATGCCATGGCACTCACTCTAGCCTGGGCAACAGAGTGAGACTCTGTATGTATGTATGTATGTATGTATAAATAAATAAATAAATAAATAAATAAAATCAGTTTTAGCCTTTGGCACTAGGAATCTGGTTTTCAGCATACATATTAGCTGAAGCAAAAAACCCCAACCAACCAACCAACCAAACAATAAATGCAGCTTCTTGTTCTCTAGCTCCCAGCTCTAAGGGGAGTTGGCAAGGGGTGTTTTTCTACTGCATGTCTAGACCGCCACTTTTCCCACTTAATGAGCCTCTGAACCTAACCACTTCTTTTTTCCCTTTATACATGGTCTAACTGGATGAAAATGAAAACTTTTCTTCTTCCATCTAAAGAACAAAAAACCCCACAAAAAATAAAAACAATAATCTTGCTTGTTCTCTCTCAACTTCCTATCTTACCCCTTAGTGGCATTTGAGATATGCGAATCTTCTTACTCTCTATCTTCTCCTCCCCTGCCTTTTAAACATTTCTGGCTCCTGTTTCACAGAGAAAATTGAGGTGGTGAAGGAGGGGAAAAGCCTTTGACCTTCTTCCCAACACCTATAAACTTACCTGTATATGCACCTGGTCTCCTTCTAGTCTCAGAGGAAGAGATGACCCTTCTGCTTTAGGCTAATCCCTCCATCTGTTTTCTTGAGTTTGGTTTGTGTATGTGTATGTCCTAAAATATATGGTCAATTTCGGTGAATGTTCTTTGGGCATTCTTTGCTTTCAAGTTCATATCTATTAGGATTAGGTGCAGGTACATATAACAGAGACCCAACTATAATAGCACAAATAAACAGAGAATTTTTAAATCTACAGTTGGGCAGTCCAGGGCTGGTAGTTTTATAACGTTGTTAGAAACCCAAGGTCTTTCATATTCACTGTTCACATGTCCTTGTCTTCATGGTACAAGATGTTGCTAAAGCTCAAGCCATCATATTCATGTTTTCTGGATGAGAAAGGAAAAGAAAGGGTCTGCCTCATTCTCTTTAAGGATATTTTCCAGAAGTTCCACACTAGCTTCTAGCTCCCTAGTCAGCACGTAGATACATGGCTATTTGTAAATGCAGGCAAGTCTGGGAATGCAATATTTTAGCTGGGCACATTGCTGTCCCAAATAAATCAGTGTGGTTATTGAGAAGAGGCATGGCAGTTTGATATACATCAATTAATTTATTAATTGTGTTATTTATTCTCCACATCCTTTTTTGGTTCTACTTGCTCTTTTATGGACTGAATGAATGGTGGTAGATTATTATTTCTTACTGTTTATGTATGTCTACTTTTTCTTTTGTATTGGTTGCTATATGAATCTCTTTTTTCCCCCTACATTTACTCTTTTTTTTTTTTTTAAGCCAGTCAAATTTAGCAGTGGGGGGTTGAATACCAACTTTAGTGACACTAATGTGAATAAGTTCTGATAACCCACTACCATCAGACCAGCCTACTCTTTTATTTATTTATTTTTAAATTTCAGAATATTCTGCCAGTAAGTAAACTTGTTTTGTTTTATCTCAAAATAGAAGTTTACTTTCCTGACCTTTTGTTCACCTTTGGCTACTGCCATGTCTGTTCATATGCCTATTTATTACTTACATTTCTTTCTTTTTAAATTTTTTCAACTTTTATTATAGTGTTTACATTTTTCTTATTGTTTTGAAAGAACTATACTAAAGATTTTAATCTATTATCTGTCATATATTTTGCAAGCATAATTTCCTGGGATGTCATATGTCTTTTTATTTTATGTGTGTTTTTTCCCTGAATCAGAGTTTAAATTATTTTGGCCAACAAATTTGTCAGGTTTTCTAGTTCATACTTTGCTGAATGAAAGTTCATGGAAGATAAAGATTATAATTAGTTTTAAAAGAGATGAACACTTATAAAGCAAACCATTATTATGACTAGCATTAAAATTAGATATTCACTATCAGGAATGTCCATGGAATGAGTTTGTTTGGATAGCTCAAACTTACAGATGAAAACTTTAGTAATAAAGATTTAAAAAGTCCATCTTTTTAGTAATAAATTTTAGTCATTTTGACTTTTAGCTAAAGTAGTGTACATTTTTCTGCCTTATTTAAAAGCAAAGGGTGATTATTATACATGCATAATACATCTCCCAATTGTATTTGGCCCCAGTACACACATTTTTAATTGCTAATTTACTTATGTAAGTATTGATCATTCGTGCTTCATTACTAGGTTTGGAATACCGAGCATGTAAAACCTGTTAATGTATTCATTTGAACGAAGTTCAATTACAATGAAGGATATTGAACTTAATTTGCCCTTTCCTTTAGGACTTTAGCTTGTTGTCAATGTGTAGTACAGTACAGAACTGTCAGACAAAAATGCCTTCTGGACTTAGTAACTATTTTCAGGATGTTTGTTTTTCCCAAAGGTGTTCCAAATTAGTATATTTTGAATTACTATTTTTGTTTTTTTATGGTATTTTTCACTTGTGCTCTATTGTCAAGTTGATGGTTATCGCTGCTCACTACAATCAATGTTTCTAATCCTAACCTTTCCTCCTTCTTTTAATTTGGTACTTCTAATCTGCTGTGAGCTTAGAAATCAAACTGACTTTTGAGAATTTCCTCTAATATAAGAGACAGAGGGAGTTTTCATATGATACTGCATGTGCAGTTTACTGATTGAACATTTTAATGGTTATTTTGGTTATTTATTTTATTTTTACCTGTATTTTAAATAAGCAAATTTACTGCATAATTGAGATGTGAATAGTGGAGTGATAGTTATTGCTACAAGCAAAGCTACTATGTTACAAATTCCATGGAACATATTCTATTGTGATTAGCCTTTAAAAAAGAAATACTAAATATCATATTGTCATTTTTCAGAATTTAGGAGTGAAACTAAAATGACTTAGTCTTTCTGTACCAAATGAATAGATGAGTAAATCAGCAGGGGAATGGGAGAGATGTTTTATAGACACCATGATGTTCCTTCTGTCTTTCTTCAAGGCTCCAAAGTAGTTTTTTTGAGATGTTTTATTTTGGTAAGAGTTTAGAGAATTTAGTTTAAATAATGGGGATGTTTAATATAAAAATCATGCTAAAGTAATTTGAGATGTGATATAATACTAACCATCTATCATTTACAAAAGATCTATAAAAAATTTGATGTCCAAAATAAATTAGGCAAAAACAGAAAATTTAGTTGATTTCTATAAAAAAAATATATACAGTAACTTACAGCCAATGTAGTCTTGGCATGTGCTGACAAAGGGGTTTATCAGGCAAATGGGTGAGGACATTATTCATCAGGACTCTGAAAAAAAACCAAAACAAAACAAAAAAGTCACATTTTTCTCATTCTTTTGTCATCTTAAATCAAACATGGTATTATCATTATTCTTATAAAACCAAGTTAGTTGTCCCGTCTCCAATTTTTTCTCTGTAAGTCCTGTTATATTAAAGTACTTGATAGCAGTAAAATTTTGACAAATAGTAGTTATTATATGGAGGAAGCAGCGATGTTTGTAACTAAAAAAAAAGTCTATGCTCTTCAACAATGGGTAGTGAAAAGGTGATTCGAAATGAATTTTATTTCTTTATTAAGATGAATACAGGCACATCTCATCTTACCCTGCTTTGCTTTATTGTGCTTTTGCAGATATCATGTGTTTACAAATTGAAGGTTTGTGACAACCCTGTGTTAAGCAAATCGACTGACACCATTTCTCCAATTGCATGTGCTCACTTCATGTCTCTATGCCACATTTTGGTAATTCTCACAATATTTCAAACTTTATCATTATTGTTGTTATATCTGTTATGGTGAGCTGTAATCTTTGATGTTACTATTATAATTGTTTTGGGGCACCACAAACTGTACTCATGAAAGATGATAAACTTAATTGATAAATGTGGTGTATGTTCTGACTGCTCAACCAACTGGCTGTCCTGTCGCTCTCCCTCTCCTTGTGCCTCCCTAGTCCCTGAGACAGAACAATATTCAATTAGCCAGTTAATAATGCTACAATGGCCTCTAAATGTTCAAGTGAAAGATAGACTTACATATTTCTCACTTTAAATCAAAAGCTAGAAATGATTAAGCTTAATGAAGAAGGCATGTCACTGTCATGGAAACAATCCAAGTGCCCGTTAATTCATGAGTGGATAATTAAAATGTGGTATATGCTCACAATGGAATATTACTCAATTCCAAGAAATGACAGTGAGCTAGCACCGTTTATGCTATCCTGGTTTAAGCTCGAGCCCATTATCCAAGGTGAGGCGACACAAGACATGGAAAATGGGCCCCACATCTACTCGCCATCAAATTGGTACTGACTGATTAAAACGATGGTGCTCAAATGGTGGCAATGCTCACCACGGATTGGGGGGGGGAGGGGTGGGAGGAGACACCCAATCTTAGGGGTGTGGTGAGCATTGTGGAGGGGAAGGGCATAACTTCCCCTCTAACCCTTCTTAGGGAGAGGCAAAGATATACAATGTAACCAAAATGTCAAAAAACAAACAAATGAAAAAACCTTTTTATCCGGTGGTGGGCAGGGGAGAAGGGGGAGGAGGAGAAGGGTGTTCACTTACATAATGTGTGTGGTGTGCACCACCAGGGGATTGGACAAGTTAGAATCTCTGGCACGTTGGGGGGAGGGAGGGCAGGGGCAATATTTGTAACCCTAACAATATTTGTACCCCCATAATATGAAGAAATAAAAGGAAGAAAAATAAAATTAAGAAGGCATGTCAAAAGCTGGGTTAGGCTGAAAGCTAGGCCTCTTGCACCAGTTAGCTAAGCTGTGAATACAAAGGAAAATTTCTTGAAGGAAATTAAAAGTGCTAGTCCAATGAACATATGAATGATAAGATAATGAAACAACCTTATTGCTGATATGAAGAAAGTTTGAGTGGTCTGGATAGAAAATCAAAACAGCCATAACATTCCCAAAGCCTAATCCAAAGCAAGGCCCTAACTCTCTTCAGTTCTATAAAGGCTGAAAGAGGTGAGGAAGCTGTAGAAGAAAAACTGGACGCTAACTGAGGTTGGTTCATGAGGTTTAAGGAAAGAAGCCGTTTCTATAACACAAAAGTGCAAGGTGAAGCAGGAAGTGCTAATATAGAAGCTGCAGCAAGTTATACAGAAGATCTAGCTAAGATCATTAAGGAAGGTGATTACACTAAACAACAGATTTTCAGTTTAGATAAAACGGTCTTCTGTTGGAAGAAGATGCCATCCGGAACTTTCATCGCTGAGAAGTCAATGCCCGGCTTCCAAACATCATAGGGACAGGCTGACTCTCTTGTGAGGGGTAATGCAACTGGTGACTTTAAGTTGAAGCCAGTGCTCATTTGCCATTCTGAAAATTCTAGAGCCCTTAAAAATTATGTTAAATCTGCTCTGCCTGTGCTGTATAAGTGGAACTACAAAGCCTGGATGACAGCACATCTGTTTACAGCATGGCTTATTGAATATTTTAAGCCCACTGTTGAGAGCTACTGCTCAGAAAAAGAGATTCCTTTCAAAATATTACTGCTCATTGACAATGCATCTGGTCACCCAAGAGCTCTGATGGAGCTGTACAAAGAGATTAATGCTGTTTTCATGCCTGCTAACACAACATCCATTTTGCAGCCCACAGATCAAGAAGTAATTTTGAATTTCAGGTCTTGTTATCTAAGACATACATTTTTAAGGCTTTAGCTGCCATAGATCGTGATTCCTCTGGTAGATCTGGACCAAGTAAATTGAAAACCTTGTGGAAAGGATTCACCATTCTAAAGGCCATTCAGAATATTTGTGATTCATGAGAGAAGGTCAAAATGTTAATATCAACAGGAGTTTGGAAGAAGTTGATTTCAACCCTCATGGATGACTTTGGCGGGTTCAAGACTTCAGTAAAAGAAGTAACTGCAGATGTGGTAGAAATAGCAAAAGAACTAGAATTAGAGTGGAGACTGAAGACATGACTGCATTGCTGTAATCTCAGGGTAAGACTTGAATGGATGAGGAATTGCTTCTTATGGATGAGCAAAAAAAAGTGGTTTTTTGAGATAAAATCTACTCCTGGTGAAGACTCTATAAACATTGTTGAAATGACAACAAAGGATTTGAAGTATTACATAAACTTTGTTGATAAAGCAGCAGCAGAGTTCGAGAGGATTGACTCCAATTTTGAAAAGAGTTCTATTTTGGGTAAAATGGTATCAAACAGCATCACACACTAAGAGAAATCTTTCATGAAAGGAAGAGTCAATGAATGCAGCAAATTTCATTATTGTCTTATTTTAAACAATTGCCACAGCCACTCCAGCCTTCAGCAACTGCCACCCGGATCACTCAGCAGCCATCAACACAGAGGCAAGACTCTCCACCAGAAAAAATATTACAATTCAGTGAAAACTCAGATGATTGTTAGTACTTTTTAGCAATAATGTAATTTTAAATTAAAGTCTGTATATTTTTTAGACATAATGCTGTTGCACACTTAATAGACTACAAAATAATATAAATGTAACTTTCATATGTACCAGGAAACCCAAAATTTTTGCGTGACTTGCCTTATTGTGATATTTGGCTTATTATGGTGGTCTGGAACCAAACCTGGAATATTTCTGAGGTATGCCTGTATAGTAATGATGCACTTAAGAACATTTCAATAAAATATGATAGTGAGACCCATATTCAATTTGATAGGCTGATATTCTAGAAGACAGAAAATCTTATAAAATTGTTAGAACTATAAATAGCCTTATAGAATATGGTTAAGAGATGGTTTTTAGTTGAAAAGACCTTTTTGGGGTTTTTGACATTCCAAATGTAATGTTATTAAGTTTAAGCATTGATTTATATTTATGCCTTTTTTGTCAATTGAAATATTTGCTTTAGTTTAGTACTTACAAGAGAATAAGAGAATTTAGTCCATAAAATGTTAGTGGGGAAATTCGACTGAGGTGATTATCTTCAATTATCCTGCCAGCCAGAAGAAAAAAAAATTAATTCATTTATATATCTTTAGAACCTAAAAATTTATACTATAAAATGTCACATAAATTAAACATACAGCCATTCTAGTCTGTGAAGATCTTCAAAAACACCCGGCTTCAGGAAGGTTATTCTGTTATGACTGAGATATCTGGAAAAGGATAAATGACTACAATAAATTTGTACTTTTTTGATGTTTTATTATAATAATACAATAAAGTAAAAACAATAATTATCCATCTTAAATTTTCTTATATAGCATTTTCATCATGCCACTTCCCTGCCTTTGAATCTCTTTAAGAGTTGCTATCACTTACCTTAACATCTCTAGCTTTTAATTTCCCCATAATTAATTAGTTAATTAACCTATTTATTCATTCATCTATTCGTTTATTATCAAATTGTTGTGAGTACCTACTCTATGGCACTGTGCTAAGTTTTTTTTTTTTTTTTTTTGAGACAGAGTCTCACTTTGTTGCCCAGGCTAGAGTGAGTGCCGTGGCGTCAGCCTGGCTCACAGCAACCTCAAACTCCTGGGCTTGAGTGATCCTTTTGCCTCAGCCTCCCGAGTAGCTGGGACTACAGGCATGCGCCACCATGCCCGGCTAATTTTTTATATATATATATCAGTTGGCCAATTAATTTCTTTCTATTTATAGTAGAGACGGGGTCTCACTCTTGCTCAGGCTGGTTTTGAACTCCTGACCTTGAGCAATCCGCCCGCCTCGGCCTCCCAAGAGCTAGGATTACAGGCGTGAGCCACAGCGCCCGGCCCTGTGCTAAGTTTTTAATACTTTTTTTTTTTGAGAGGCTGAGTCTGGAGGGGAGAGACAGTATGTGAATAGGTTATCATGCAACATAGGGGAGGCAGAGGGAAGTGTGTGATTGCTCTGCCATCGCAGAGGAGAAAGCACCTGACTGCTAGGGATGGGCACGGCAGAGCATGGAGGAATGGGAGACAGGAAGGCTTTACTAAAGGAGACGTACTTGAGAAGAGTCTTGGATGAAGTCATGGAATTCACAAAGCAAAGAATGGGCAAGAGCTATTCTAGGGCAGAGGGAATAGCTTGTCTAAAAGCAAGAGGTACAAGAGAGAGTAACAAGGTGAGAGACCACCAGGTAATTCAGTGGGACCTTGTCATGGAGGGCTATGAGGAGAGACAGGAGATGAACCTGGGAGGCAGAGGCCTGTTCTGGAAAAAAGGGCATTGCATGCCTTGCTAAAGAGTTTGACCCCATCCTACCTACCCAACTTTACTTTTGCTCTTCTGCAGAGTTAACTGGCTCTCTATTTTTCTGTGTTGATCTCCTCTTGCCATGTTCATTCCCATCTCAGTGTCTTTAGTGTAGCAGTTCATTGCACTAAATCTGCTGCCAGCTTGATTCATGATTCTTCTATTTATTAACAGTGTGGCCCTGAGCAAGCAATTAATTCCTGTGAGCCTCAGCTTCCCCAACTCTAAAACAGCGATATCAATCCCTACTTCCTAGGGTTGTTGTAACATTTGGGGCAATGCATGCCATAAGCACTCAGTATACATTATTTATTATAACAGTATCTCTGCTCATGCCTCCCACTCCAATTTCCTTTTTTAATTAAAACATTTTTTTGCTCAGTCATAAAATAGCTGTTGAACACTCCAATTTATTCCCTCTTTTTCCTCTGCCTATGATTCATATGCAAGTATTACTTCAAATTTCACTTCCACTAATACATGGTTCACACTATTTTTTTTTTTCCTTTTCTCCACTCTTACATATCTTGGAGCTGTCATCCTATAAAATTTTTCCTGCCAGGCATCTGTCCTTTCGAAGTAGGTGTGACTTTTGCTTTAGGGTAGTGAGGGAGGACATGCCATGATAGAACCACTTCCTTCCCTCTTTTGCAAACCTAGAGCTCAGGTGGGCACAGGCACGATAAGAAATAGCTTTAACACCTATCATGAAAAACCTCAGGGGGTTCTCTTATAAACCAATGCACCCCTGCCCCAGGTACAAGGCATTTGATCCACCCTGCCATCCTGTGCCCATTTGTTTAGCCCATTTCTCAGAGCCACCCTTCACTGCTCTGGATCAGAAATGATCATACTTTCAGTGAACCATAACAGCAGTTTTGGTCTGAGCAGCATAGGTGTAGGACTTATGTACTCTTTCATGATTTTCTAATTGTTATATATACATTGGTATCGTTTGCCCGTCTTAGATCACAAGCTTCTAGAGAGCAAGTGCATGCCTCTGCCCAGGGACAGCTCAGTGCTCAGCCTGAGACACTACGGTATAAGCCACTTAAAGGCAGCATGGCTGGTTTATCTTTCTGCGCTCTCCTGGTGTCTAGCTGAAGTACTCATACTACATAAGGGTTAATGAATACTACGGATGAGCAAAGAACATGTATCTTATGGTTACTTATGAAAAAACTAGAAGTATGTGGCATCTTTAACACTCAAACAATATTCTGGGGCTATTAAAAAAACAGTGAAAAGAGATGGAGACACCTTTAAATTTACTCTCCAGTCTGTGCTACCTTTCAAGAGTGCCCTCCACATACACTGAACATTAAACTGAGCAGATGCTGTTTAGTGAGTTTTGGAAAGATTCATGGAAAGATAGGAGCCTGGTGAGAATGAGTCCAGCATTGACTTTGGGGCTTTGCTAAGACACCAAGAGCAGGAATGGGTAGAAGGGAAGAGGACATGGCTGAAATGGCTACTGTTAAGGCTTTGAATCTCCTGGGACCTTCTTCCATTTTGTTAATAAATTACTAGGTGCTCTTCTTGACTTGATCCCAAACTCGATTTCATAAGCTAAAAATCTGGCTGGAAGGGATTTCCTGGGTTAGGGTTGAGAATGGGGTAGGATAGAAAACAAGGGGTCAAAATGGAGATACAGGGAGTTATTTATTTATGTGATTTTTTTGTTATATTTCCTTTCAGTTACTTCTCCTAGAAGGCTGTTTGGTAGATCTCAATGAAGTGCAACTTTGAGAAAGCCTATTTTAAAAGGCTTTGCTTTTAAGCACAATAAAATACCACTTCGTACCTATTAGGATAGTTATTGTCAAACCACCTAACCAACCAACCAACCAAAAAAAACCCAAACCAGAAAATAGCAAGTATGGGTGAGGATGTGGAGAAATTGGAGCCCTTGCATTTTGCTGGTGGGAGAGTAGAACGGCACAGCTGCTGTGGAAACAGAGTGGCAGTTCCTCAAAACATCAAGAGTACAATTACCATATGGCCCAGAAACTCCACTTCTGGGTACACACCTGAAAGGACTGAAGCAGAGACTCAAAAAGGTATTTGCACTCCCATGTTCACAGCAGCATTATTTACAATAGACAAAAGGTGAAACAACCCAAATGGTTATCAACAGATAAATGGATAAACAAAATGTGGTATATACATACAATGAAATTTTATTCAGCTTTAAAAAGGAGGAAATTCTGACACACGCTACAACATGGATGAACATTGAAGACAACATGCTAAGTAAAATAAGCTGGATACAGAAGGACACATATTTTACGATTGTACTTATATGAGGCACTCAGAGGAGTCAATTCATAGATGCAGAAAGTAAAATCGTGGTTGCTACGGGCTGGGGGAGAGGAAGTGTGGAGGGGGACATGTGGAGGTATTGGACAGTGTGGAGGTATTGTTTAGCAGGTACGGAGTCTCAGTTGGGGAAGATGAAAAAGTTCTGCAGGTGGATAGTGAGGATGGTTTAGCCTTTTTTCAATTGTTCAGTTTTAAAAATTATTATAGGCCGGGCGCAGTGGCTCACGCCTGTAATCCTAGCACTCTGGGAGGCCGAGGCGGGCAGATCGTTTGAGCTCAGGAGTTCTAGACCAGCCTGAGCAAGAGTGAGACCCCCATCTCTACCAAAAATAGAAAGAAATTAGCTGGGCAACTATAAATATATAGGAAAAATTAGCTGGGCATGGTGGCACATGCCTGTAGTCCTAGCTACTCAGAAGGATTCCTTGAGCCCAGGAGTTTCAGATTGCTGTGAGCTAGGCTGATGTCACGGCACTCTAGCCCAGGCAACAGAGTGAGACTCTGTCTAAAAAAAAATATTATTATAAAATACACATAACATAAAATTTACCATCTTAGCCATTTCTAAGTGTCCATTCACAAGCATTAAGGACATTCACATTGTTGTGCTACCATCACCATCATCCATCCACAGAACCATTTTCAACAATGTGAATGTACTTAATGCCACTGAACTGTACAGTTATAATAAATTTTATATTATGTATATTTTACCATAATTAAAAGCTTTATATTTTAATCTTACAGTGCTTTATATATTCATAAAAATGGAATTAATGAAAAAAGAATGATGATAACTGGGGAAACTTTTGGGTTTCTTTCCTTCTTCACAAATACTATCATCAGGCTTTCTTACTTTGAATTCCTTCAATCACTTCTATGTTACTACAGCTAATGAACAGAAGTCCTTATTATGCCAGGCACAGTGTACCTACTGCTTCCCATGGATTTTCTCATTTGCTCCTTGCAATAACACTGAGGTAGGTACTATTATAATTTGTGTTTTATAGTAGAGGAAATGAATGTCTAGAGAGGAAAATAAATCACTCAAGATTACACACCTTATAAGTCAGCAGTCCCTAAACTTTTTGGCATCAGGGACCAGTTTTATGGAAGACAATTTTTCCACAGACAGAGGCAGTGGGGTGGGGGGAGGGAGAATGGTTTGGGGACGATTCAAGCACATTACATTTATTGTGCACTTTATTTCTATTATTATTATAACATATAATGAAATAATTATACAACTCCTCATAATGCAGTCAGTGGGAGCCCTAAGCTTGTTTTCCTGCAACTAATGCTAAGGCTGATCTCACAGGAGGTGGAGCTCAGGTGGTGATGTCAGTGATAGGGAGCAGCTGTAAATATAGGTGACTCTTTGCTCCTTGCCTGCCGCTCACCTCCTGCTGTGTGGTCAGCTCCCTAACGGGACACCGACCAGTAATTCTGTGGCCTGCGGTTGGGGACGGCAGTAGTAAGGAATGCCATCAGGACTCAGACTGAAGCCTATCTGACCCCAAATCCCATGCTCTTAGCCATGATACTATACTGTTCCTTCAGCACTACCACTACACATCTCCCTGGCACTGTTGGGGCAGGAGGGCTGGTCTGGATTGGAATGGGTCAGGCTATCAGGCCACCATGGAATGGGCAAATTAACTGGCACCAGTACTTACAGTTTAGTAAGGCTGTACAGTCCTCTGAAAGCATAGATGGATATTGATCTAATTTTATTGTTTTGCAGGCACCTGTGAAAATGATTATTAAGAAGGAAAGCACAATGAAACAGTTTCAGGTCTGCAAAATGAAAAGAGATCTGTGGATGGATGGTGGTGACGGAAGCACAATAATGTAAATGTACTTAATGCCTCCGAATGTACAGTTAAACATGGTTAAGATGGAAAATTTTATGTTGTGTACATTTTATGACAATTTAAAAAAAATTAAACATTGAAAAAAGTGAATCTTACATAATAGTTTAGTGAAGCCGGATATAATATCACTTTATTTTGCCATTAAATTCATGCATGATTAGTCTGGTTTTTATTTAGAACTTCTATTATAAAGGTGAACAGATAATAGCCAAAATTTACTAGGAATAAAATTTTAATGCATAGTAAAGCACTCACTAATTAGATTGGCCTAGAAGTAAGAACTTTGAACACTTCCTGCTATAATTATCCAAATTTGTAAGTGCTCAACATGGTCCTGGCTACATTATGTCTACATTATGTCTTTAATGCTTCAAACCATATTCCATGTATGGAATTCTACATATAATCATGATAATATAATTTAGTTAATTAATCATGATAATATAATTTAGTCACAAAGTTGACCTAAATAACAAGTAAACATCACCTGGGTCATTGTGGATTTTTAAGAGTACATACGTGACCCTAAACTGAAGGGAAGCCAGCATGTCAGATACCACTCAAGGCCAAAATAAAACTCAACCTACAAGGCAGATGTGAAAATGGGATCAAGTCCCCAAAACAACATGCTCAGAGGTTTCAAACCACAATGATTTGCTATCTTAGGGAGAAACTGAATTTGAAAACATTTGGAAGACAATTCTTGACTATCTAATCTGGAGGGCAGATCTGGCAAAAGACTGGGGAGTATGATAGGATTCCCAGCACACATGCTCCTGTTTCTTTGCTAATTAGGTATCTGAGATTTTTCTAGAATGGCTTCTAGGACTATTCAGAATAAATGTTACCTGGAAGTCTCCAGTTAACAGCAAAGTAATTCCCTAAAGAGAGACACAAGCAGTGGTATAGTGTTGATCTTCACAGAAGTGTGAAGAAACAGATATGGCCCTCAAATGCTAGTTTATTTTAATACCAGAATTAATTTTTTTTTCTTACAGCTTCTGAAGATCATGGTAATTCTTGAAGCCATCAGGAGGAAGCTTTCTTAGTAAGTTCCTCCGAAGAGACCTGAAATAAATGTAAATTTTGGTTCTTAAAGTTGTTTTGTTTTTCACGTTACTTTTCAACTACAACAATATAGATAATTACAAACTATTTAACACTATTTTCAGGAAACATTTTACATCATGACGTCACTCTCATATTTAGCATCATCTGAACTAGGTCTAACTGTTGATTTTGTGTTATTAAAGATAGTAATTTTTCTTAAATTTAGGTTACAGCATTATAATTCTGACAAAAATTTTGCAAATAATAAAACTGGGAAAAATTGATTTTTAGTTACTTTTTTTTCTATTTTTATTTAACAAACATTAGAAGATATCTTAGTTTTGACTGACAATAAGAATAGTGTTTTCTTCTTAAAACATACTCAAGAACTTAAATAGTTTTATATTCCTCAATATTTCATTGCTCATATTCTACCACCTTAAAATTAGTTATGAAGAAAACTGTCAATTGGTACATACAGTTGAATCATTTTTATTGAATAAGTGATCCCTTTTCAATTTCCAAGTCATATAGAATGATTTTCACCTGTATCATAATTTAATAAGCAGTTTAACCAGATCTACAAAATTGTGGTTTTATTGGAAAAGTCCTAAGCCTTTAGCTTTTTAAGAAAAGTAATGTAATGCAGTAGAAAAAAATAATAAATCAAACAAGCAAAAAACCAAAACCAATGTATCTGGGGTCCCTTGCATGAACCGCACATAACCATTCCGAGTTACTCTCTTTACTGGGAAAGCCAGGGATTTGGATTAGATAATCTCTAACAATAAGATGCTAATATAACTACTATCATTATATAGTATGATGGAACAGATAGGTATTATTCAAATAGCAACAGACTGCATTGTCTGGAGGCTAACTCAGCTTAAGACAGTGTCATATAATAAGCACTAACAATATTTAGATTTTGGACTAGTGTTGCTTAAACTTGGTAATGAATCCTTGAAGAAAATAGCTTCTCAGACTCTCTGGAACACATTTTTGGAATCTAATTTGAGAAACATTGTTCTAGAATCTGTAAGACCATGCATGCTCAATGGGAATGAGAACTGGTTCTTAGAAAGTAAAAAAAAAAAATCTTACTTTTTAAATGTATAAAGCACAGATATACACAAGAAAATATACAGTATATTGGTAGTATTAAAATTTCACAGGAGGGGAAAAATAGGAAAACGTGTCCAAAATGGCTTCTGGAGGAAGGAAGGCAATAATGAAAAGAGAAGAGGTTAAGAAACACTCTTCTATACTATACATTCCAGCCACTTAGTGATTTTCTAAATGGATGAATACCAAAGGCTGATTAACTAGTAACCCTATTTTGAAACCAGTCTAAGTTGTTGGCTGTTGCCAAACACTCTTTCCCTCCCTATATTATTAGCTAATTGAGAATCCCTTTTCTACTAATAATTCTCATTTGGCTTAGATTCCAAATTCTGCTTTATATCCTGTTCAAATGAATGTTTGTATCACGTAAAGATAAATAGCAAAATATTTGGGTTTGCCTTATGGATATAGATGAAAACTTAGTGTATTCTTTAAAAAATGTGTTCATTCATTCATTTTCTTAACAAATGTGTTGAACGCTTGCATTTGCACTTTGGAAGAACAGACAACGTCCCTGCCCTTAAGAAGCTTATACTCTATTTGGATAACAAATAGCATACTTTATCTATAAATAGAGACTTTTCTTTGGATAATAAGTTCAGTCTTGCAGCGCAGGGCTAAAGAGGCAATCAGCTTGTTTTATTTTTATTGTATTTATTTACTTATAAATTCATTTCAAAAACATGCTCTGTTAGGAACTTTGAAGGATATAGAGGAAAACCATGCATGGTCTAGGACCCCAAAGAGCTTGTGGCATTTTCCTTTTTCAGGTGGAGACTAGGGCTCTAATCACGATAGTACAAGGAAGAATGTTTAATAGACTTAAAAGAGGCACAGGTGAGGTTCTTTGAGACCTCAATAGGAAGAGGTTAATTGCATTTGAGTGGGGAGGGTTACTACAGAGGGAAGGGAAGCTCATTTAAGGACTCCTAAATAATGTTTCTTAGAAAGTTGGTTTCTTATTAAAATCGACTAGGGTTTATAAATGACATGAAATATTTTCACAAATAACATTCTCTATATTTTCATAATCTCCTATGGATAGTGAAAGAGGTAGATGTTATTCTCATGGAGTAGAACAAACCAAATTACTTTTTAATATAATAAATCCTTATGTTTTAAAATCTGATATTCCAAGTTTGATTCTTCACAGAGTCAAAGAGTGTGTGTGAGAGAGAAACTGCCTAGTTTTATCATTATTGTCAAAGGCGGCTCTAGTTCTTTGTTCTGTTTTGTTTTTTTTTGAGACAGAGTCTCGCTTTGTTGCACAGGCTAGAGTGAGTGCCATGGTGTCAGCCTAGCTCACAGCAACCTCAAACTCCTGGGCTCAAGCAATCCTTCTGCCTCAGCCTCCAGAGTAGCTGGGACTACAGGCATGTGCCACCACGCCCGGCTAATTTTATATATATATATTAGTTGGCCAATTAATTTCTTTCTATTTATAGTAGAGACGGGGGTCTTGCTCTTGCTCAGGCTGGTTTCGAACTCCTGACCTCGAGCAATCTGCCCGCCTCGGCCTCCCAGAGTGCTAGGATTACAGGCTTGAGCCACCGCGCCCGGCCTGTTTTGTTTTTAAAGAAAGCTCTTATGATTGGATCATGTAGTTTTCATGATTAAATTCTAGGATCTCAGAGTCAACTCTCAAATAGTCAAAGTTAATATTTAGCAAGCTGGAACAATGTATAATCATATATGTCTGTGCCTCTTCTGTTCATTAGCATTTATGTAAAATGTTTTTCAAAAAATCCCAACTTCGATAAATATTTCTTGGATTATTGGCTTCTTTGACACTTATATATGATTTAGTCCATTTCTGACAGTTCTCTATAATAGTTCCAACTCAAAATCTGGAAAGAATTTAGTAATGAAATTGGTATTTACTTTTTAATGTATCTGCTATAAAGCTTAGAGTTCTTTCTCCCTGTAGAATTGGACAAACAGACTGGGACAAGGTATGAGGCTGAGCCAGGAATGGTCAACCAGAATCAAGTGGCTCAACCCCAAACACAAGAGAATGTATTTCTAAACAAAAAATAAAATAAAATATTGTTGCCATAAATTCCTGAGATTCTATTCCTACAACTTTAAATACTTGTTGGAAATTTCCATTGAGTGACCTGTTAATCTCAAATTGAAAAAAAAAAATCTAACATTAAAGTCTTAGTCTTCCTCATTTCCTGCCTCCAACTCTTAGCTCACTCTATGACTTTGGAGGGAAACCTTGGAGTCATCCTTTACTCCTCCTTCCTTGCCTTCTTATAGCCAACTGTTCACGAGGACCTGGTCCAGTTTTTTCTTTATGCCAGGGTTTGAAAACTGGTGGGCCACAGGCCTGCACACACATCTCTTTATGTGTGTATTAGACCAGAGCAATTTTTAAAAATTAAATTGGAATTAATCCAATTAAATTATTCTCCCTTTGGGTGGGCTTCCCTCTCTAGTTAGTCATTGCCTTACTCCATACTGTTCCTCCACCTTTCTCTTTCTGCTCCTTGATTTTACAGGGGTTGATTGAATTGTTGAAGAATGGTTTTAAATCTTACTTGTGGGAAAATGAAAGACGGGACTGGGAGCATCAGGGTAGTCTTTAATTTGGATTTTGTCGTAATTTGATACAGGCAGTGGCAGGGGGCAATAATGATTTTTTTCTTTGAAAATATTAATAGAACGAAATCATCATACATTCTTATACCTAGCATTTTCAGCTAGAATTTAAATAAGAGAAATGCTCCACAGGACCTTAGCTTCTTTGTGGGGGAGTATTATTGTTTTCTAGTAGGACTAATTGCTATGAAAAAAAGCCACACTGAGGCAAGAAGAGGATAGAATGCTGAAGAGCTTCTTTTCCCTAGTTCAGGTGGAAATGTAACCTCCTTTGGAAAACCCTGCCAATGTTCTCAGTTCATATTCCTAGGCTGCCATAAACTGGGTACGCACTCAAGATTCTGTGCATTTGATGGTACCACTATCTACAGGAACTCTGAGCTGTGGCTCTTCCCTCCCTTCCATGTCGAGCATTTGAGTTGCTGTGTTATGTGGTCTGGTTTGAAAAAGGTAAACCTTGCCACATTTGTAAATTCAAGAATTGCTCCTATTTTGTCTTCATATACCCAAAAGTTAGAGTCACAAGGCACTAAGACATCTGGATGAAAAAAAAAACAACTCAGAAAAAAATATTGGATTAAAATATCCGTCTTCCCCTGATTTCTTTTTAAAAGTTTCAGCCAAATGTGTGTTTGTGTTGCTGAAGTTTGGTTCAATTCAAATGAGTACTAGAAACCAATAACCACAAGTACTAGAAATCAACAAACCACTTATTATGCGGGTAATTTTCTTTTATACACAAAGTTTGAATTAGGAAAAAAATCAACATCTTTGAGCAAAAGTGTGATTCAGAAGAGTTAGATTTTAAACGTGAAGTTCTGAGAATAGTTTATCCAATTTATCTTACTTGTTTTCTTTTTAAATTTATACATAAGAGAGTACTAAAACTTATGTCCAATAAATTCTAAAAGAGCTCTTTCAATAAATGTCAAGTAAAAGTTCTATGTAACAGGAAAGCTCTATGTAACTGTTTAATTAGCAATCTTTTTTCTTTAGTAGCGTGTACAATTGATGAAATAGAAAAAAATACTTTGTTTAGAAAAGAATATGGTGATACCACATACCTCATAGGATTGTTATGAGGGATTAAATAAGTTAATATAGGTAATAACTTAAAGTAGAGTGGAGTATTTAGTAAATGCAAAACAAACATCAGTACTCACTATAAGTGACCTGGGAACAATGACATCATCTTTGAATAAAAATATATTATTAATAATGACATAATCTTAATTACAATACAATTTTATAGGTGCTTTCTAGCTGTCAGGATGAAGCCATTCTTTTCTACTTACATCATAGTCACATTTGAAGAAACTGATGGAACAGCTCGTAAATTGGTTTCATCACAGTCAAGCTCTAGACCTCGGCAAAAACATTGCACGGGCACAGAACCAACCACTGAGTAAAGCGGAGGTAGCAAGGCATGATGACAGTGAGGGACCAGGAAAGGAGGGTAATGAAAAGAAAGAAATGAAAAGCTATGAGAAAATTATTTAGCACAAAAGCATATCATGTCTTACTTAAGCAAGTTGGACAACACTTTAAATTAAGGTTCCAAAGTTTATTTTTAATTTCCTCTTAAAATGAAGCTAGACCATTAACATTTGGAAATATACACATTTGCCAGCCCATGCATTTTCTTTTTAAAATAGCAAACTTGGCCCTGCGGCGTGGTGGCTCACGCCTGTAATCCTAGCTCTCTGGGAGGCCGATGCGGGTGGATTGTTTGAGCTCAGGAGTTCAAAACCAACCTGAGCAAGACCGAGACCCCTGTCTCTACTATGAAATTAATTGGCCAACTAATATATATAGAAAAAAATTAGCCGGGCATGGTGGCGCATGCCTGTAGTCCCAGCTACTCGGGAGGCTGAGGCAGCAGGATTGCTTGAGCCCAGGAGATTGAGGTTGCTGTGAGCTAGGCTGACGCCATGGCACTCACTCTAGCCTGGGCACAAGTGGACTAAAAAAAAAAAAAAAAAAAATTGCAAACTTCTCCATTTGTTACAAAATGAATGAAAACATCTGCTCTTACGTCACCAAGGGTGAGATGATAGTGAGTGATAGTATTTAATGCTTATATTAGAATTGCTCCTTAAAAATTAAGTATTTATTTAGCATAATCAGAACCTTTAAAGGAGGACTAAGTCTTTTTTAATTTCAAAATATTAAGGGGATACAAATGTGTTTGTTCTAAGTCATTTTTAACTAGCAAGAAAGAGGAGAACTAAACACAGGTGGTGGTGTTGATAGAATTTTTTTTAGGAAAATTCAGTTCTTCAAAGGATTTTTTTTTTTTTTTGAGACAGGGTCTCACTCTGTTGCCTAGGATTGAGTGCAGTGACATGATCATAACTCATTGTAGCCTCGAACTCCTGGGCTCAAGTGATCCTCCTGACTTAGCCTCCCTAGTAGCTTGGACTACTGGCACATACCACCATGCCCGGCTAATTTTTTAAATTTTTGTGTACAGATGCAGATCTTGCTGTGTTGCCCAGCTGGTCTCAAACTCCTGGCTGCAAGCCAACCACTTGGCCTCCCAAAGTGCTGGGATTACAGGTGTGAGCCACTGCACCTGGCCAGGATATTTTAAAATAATCTTCCTCTGGCTTATGTATGGGTGAAGGATGTCTAACTTCATTTATGAGAATGAACATTTTTCTGCACCAGCATTCTATTTTCACTGATGTTGGAAAGAGAGGGATAATGAGATGTATGCCTCTGGCCACGTCGTGGGGCTGCAGGGATAGTCTTAAGGATGTGATTCGATATATCTAAAGTCTATTAGAGACTTGCAATGATGTATCCATATAGCTAAACAGTATAATGAGATTACCATTCAGTACACTAAATGTAGTCTGATTCCTTCCCTGATGAGGAATGGATCATGACTGAGAGCCATGAGGAATGTTTCCCCTCCTCATTCACTTTTGGAGCCCTAAACTATATAGCAGGGGTTACAGACTCAAATGTCTACAGGGGTCAGGCAAAGTCGATGCAGACTGTGTCCAGATGTCCCAGAGGAACAGCTTTTTCTAACTGTTGCCTTGTAGAATAGGATGTGTAGCCAAACTTTATTAATGCATTGGTTAATCACAGATATTACATATTCCATAATATTGCTGAGATGTGACTTTACAAATGTGAACTCCTCACATTCTTTTGTCTAGTCAAAAATCTTTGTAAGCCATTCTTAGTTTAATTTCCAATAAATCTCTATAATAATCTGATTTAAATAAAGTGGCACACTAGGAACCTTAAGTTTCACCTTCAAATTTTATACACTTGTGATTCTATTTTTATACTGCTTTCAAGTTTGAGAAAGATATTTAGTTGTGACCCCCCAGATTGTTTTTAAAGTACTCTAATTAAAAATTATATATTTGTTCTTTGCTAAGTACAGATGAAAAAATTACTTCTGTATTTTTTTATACATCATTTATTGCATTGCTCCATTTCTTTTACGCAATTATACTTGTGACAAATTTCTTCCAGAGTGCAGGATCAGGCAAAATTTATTTCCCTTGCTGTCTTAATCTTTTTTTCCTCCCGTTTGTTTGTTTTTGCTTTACAAACTAGACTATGAAAGTTATGTAACCCATTATTTTCCCTCTTTGACCTAATGGCTACAAAATTGAGAATGAAGCTTTGGATGTAGTACTGAACTTTTCACAAAGAGGATTTTCTTATGTAATTTATATCCTTGTCATTCCCCTTTCTACTACTTATTTTTTGTCTTTTATATCACATTAATGATTTAAGTCTGTTAGTAGCTATATTTTAATTGAAAGTTGCTAAAAATCCTTTCAGGAATAAGGTGAGACATAAGATTCATTTACAATTCAGGAAATGAAAAGAAAATAATATACAATAAAAGAAAAAACTATGTTTTGAGATAACATGGCTTAATTCATTTTTTTATTATATAAGCAGTTAAATTATACCTATTAACTATTGCCTTTCCCAGAAGCTTTTAGCTTTTTCAATAATCAAATTATTTGAGCTCCATCCTCTGGGAGGCAGGGAAGATGCTGAGATAGATTGCTAAGCAACCTGTGAGATGTATATCCCCTTAAATTGGGGATTGTTAGTTGCTTTTTCTTTAATTTCATTTGAGTAGTGAAAATAAAAAATATTAAACATTTTAAAAAAAGCTAGGCTTTATAATTTGTGGTAGAACATACAGGAAAAAGTATGTAAAGGATTCCTTCCCCCACCCCTTGCTTTTTGACCAAGGGTTTAAAAAGGTAAGGTCAAAATTATAGCTCCAAAACAAAGATTTACATTTGCCTAATTTATTAGGATAGAAAAAATTTATTTAAAAGGAGTTATTTTCATATATCTTCCTCATATAAAATATTATAGAGTTAATCTTTACGTTTATACCCTGTATACGTTTATACCCTTCCCCTGCAGTGATTTTGTAAGTTTTCAGTATATCATTAAACATGGCAGGTTATAATTGATGAGGCTTTTGTAGCTATAGAATACAGCTTAGACTCCAGAAGATTTTTCACTTGCAAACATTAAAATCCTTTACAGCAGAGTTATCAGTGATTGTGAAAAGGGAACAAACATAAAACAGCAACCCTGACTGGCTCACATTAATTTTGTTCACAACAATACCTGACATGATTTATTACTTTTACAGTTAAGATTCCTGAGTCATTTTGAAGTAAAATTCTCAAATTAAGACTACAGTAGAGTTTACAACTGGAAAACTATAATTACCTTTTTTTCTTTTTTAAAGTTGGATCCAACCTTTGAAAGCACAGTGTTTTACTATGAACTCATGGAAAAGGGACAACCACTCTGGTTACTTACAGCACTCAGATGTTTCTGCCTCAAAGGGGGAGGTCATTTTGTAGTAACTGGCAAAATATTTGTCAAGTTGTAGAGACCATCCATTGTTGTCTCCTAAAATAAAAATAAGAGAGCAAAAAAGTTCAAGAAAACTGAAATAGTCTGGTATGTTGGGGAAGAAAATACGTCCTTTCTTTAAAATAAGTCAGTGGGTCTCAAACTTAGTGAAATAAGCATTATTTGGGAAGTTGCTATAAATGTGAATTTCTGGGCCCCCACATTGGAGATTCCGATTTCTCAAGTCTGGGATGGGCCCCCTGGTCTTCGTTTAAAAGAAAATTTTCATTTTTAATTATTATGAGTACATAATAGTTGTATATATTTGTAGAGATATATGATGTTTTGATACAGGCATGCAATGGATTCTAATCAAATCAGCATAATTGGGATATCCATCATCTCAAGCATTTATCATTTTTTTGGTGTTAGGAACATTCCAATTCCACTCTTTTAGTTAAAGTATACCATATTTTAAACAAGCACTGTAGATATTTCTGCAGCAAGCAGTATTTGAACCACGCTTTAAGAAACAGCATTTTAGACATGCCTACATACAGCACACAGTTTTAGCATTTTAATTATGTTTCCCTAAATCTTCTTCAATCATTAAAACTGATGCTAAAGATGTATAAACATGGATAAATGGTCATGATGATTAAATTTAAAAAAGAAAAACATGACCAACATGATCCCATTTCTTTTTTTTTTTTCTTTTTAAATAAAGGCGCTATAGTATTTAACATGATTATTCTCTGGGTGCTTATATATTTTCTCATCTGTATTTTCTGATTTTTATATTAAACTCATATCACTTTTGAACAAAACAGAAAAAATAATAATAGTCTCCATTTGGGGTGAAAAAAGAAAATTTTTCTGACAAAATTCCTTATGGTCTTGTAGTTATTTTGAAACATAATTGACGATGAAACCAGTCACATGGCAGAAGGGACTAGCGAGTAGGGATGCAGGAGCAGCTTCTCTGAGATCTCTGCAGATAGTATCACTCTCATTCCCTTGAATGTGATCTTCTATAGCGATTCTAACTCTTTTCTCAAATGCTGCAGGGGCTCCTTAAGGATGCCCAAGCATATACACAGAGGGAGAAATTAGGAAAGTTTGCCCTATTTCTGTAAGTTATTAAATTTAGCATTCTGCTTTTATAAAATGCCATATGTAGGACAGTTTTCAGGATGGCCTTGAATAGACTCAGTTCTCCACCATTTCTTGCTGCAGTTCTCAAGGACAACAGTAAATATTCTGGGAATGCAACATTCTGAGATAGGGAAGAACTACCTTAAACCACTCAGGCCTTATTCCTGTCTCTCCCTTTGAGGAGGAACTTCCTCTGGAAGCAGGATGTCCTTCAAAGATTCCCCAGTGAGTCACCTTGCCCCTGAGGTATATAACCCAGGGCGGCTGTCTTTTAGGGTCTCTCAGCTACAGTGCAAGTGGGGTGCAACGAAGTCAAGAATCCATCTGCCCTGGGCAGGTTTTTCGAGTCTTGGGGCACCAGCTTACAATGGATCCTAGGCTTCTTTTGTCTCTTGCTGCCCATCTATAGGTAATAAACATGGTTCATGTGACTTGTTGCGTGTGAGTGTGTTCTGTCTCCCTCTGGACTCGGACAAATTGGTAAACAGTACGTGGTGAGCCGGGTTTGCACCATCTATGTGTAGCTTGTATTTGAGACTTGAGTTCAGATAGTACAACCTTGTTTAGTTGTGTGGATTTGGTAAAACTGACTTCATCATACCCATGGTTTCAACCCTAATCAGTGGACTTTCAGGTTATATCTTCAGCCCTCACTTTTTCTACTGGTGAATATGTGCTCGATTTGCCATGGGCACCTCAAACTCAACATTGCCAATGTAGAACTCATTATCTTTTCCTGTATATGCTTATTATTCCATAAGTTCTCTGGATTTGTGAATGATCCACACAATCAATCAAACTGTCCCAAACACAAAGGTTAAGTTTATTGGACTACACTCAGACCCAAGTATAACTTACATGATTTCCCCCCTTCTCGAGGCTATTCTCTTGTTTTTCCACAGTTTATTAAATCCTCCGTGAAGATTATGTTTGGGAAAGGAAAGTTATTTTTACATAAATGTTACCTATACTTGTAAATTAGACATCTTTTTACAAGTCCCACTAAAAGTGAAAAATCCGCAAGAAGATAGATTATTTAAACATTGTATTTATAACACTCTTCTTTATTTAGCATTCCTTGTTAGTTTTAAAACTTCTTTATTACAGAAGTTTTCAAAATAAACAAAACTGGCTAAGTAGCATAATGATATTAATATCTTGATTCAGAGAGAGATAAGGGATGTGCCTCAAGTTTACCAGCTGCAGAGTTCAGCACGGGATTCCAGGCCATCAGTAAGTCAGTGGGCAAGGCACAACACCCTAGAAACCAGCAAATATCAGCCATTGAACACCCAGGAACCAGTTCAAGTTGCCTGCTTGACCTTGAACATCCTGCACTGGATGATACCTTAGGTAGAGATATAGTATACGGAAAAAGAAATTTGAAAGACTGAGCATATATAGCCAAATAGAGAATATAACTTTCTGAGACTGTGGTGGATTTCTGAGTGTTTGCTCCTCCTCTATTCTATCTTCAGTTTAGAATGCTTTCTTGTTCTACAGAAGTTGGTAACTTAAGTCTATGTTTTGCAGACCCCAAGCAGCTAAGGTACTTGTTATAGATAAGCTTCTACCAATTGGATACACTCAGGTGAGACTTGAAGTTTGTAAACACCAGCCTCACAGGTATCTAGAGGAAGTTGGGGTGGTTATTGCAGCCAGCCTCTGGGTTCCAGCGTGATGGATACAAAGAGATGATCAGCAGTAGCAGTGGTAGCAGCAGCAAATGCCTCTTGATCTTGGGCTCGCAACTATGGTGGTATATTCCTCACCTCTGACGCCTACTTCTATAGCCTTTAAAATGATTCTATAAACACATTCTTTGATGTATGAAATCTCTTTTGTTCTTAAGTATTCTCCCCCAAATATCTAGAGTGGTTTCTGTTTCCTCTTTCCAGAAGGGGTTGCAGATAACATGCTCTCAAGGATGGAAACATTGGTTATGTGACCTGGTTGGTTTTGAAGATAAGGACAATCTTGTTACCATTAGAGAATAGGACTCTTGTAATTTATGGCATACAGTGACACAAAAAGTCACTTAAATCATCACTATGGCTTTCTAGAGTGATATGCCTATTAGAAGGCTAGACTCTGGCAAAGTGGTTGCTATGACAAATCACTAGAATGAAAATGAGAAATTTCAAGGACTGTGAAGTGGGATGACTCTGGAGAGAATAAAGAAAGAAAAAGGCAAGCTCAGGTTACGTTATCAGCTCTTATTAATAAAAACTCAGAGAACCAGGGAGCTTCCATGACTATATTAAGGTAATATTTTATCTCTTGTGGTCTTAGGTCAGGATTGATGTAGCCTAGAATCATACAGAATTTGATCCATTGGGTTGTGAAGTTATAATACAAGTCAAATTCACAATTTGTCACATCTTTTCAGTGAATGTTAAAACACTGATTTGGAAAGAGAGGGACCCTGTGAATCATATGTGTGCTCAGTTGAGTTCCAGGACCCTAAATCCCCATCCCACTGAACCTCCCTTGCCAGCAGAAGCAGACTCTTCCTGTCTGATGAGGTTAGTGTAGTTTGAAGACACGTTGGATACTTTACATGAGGTAAATAAGTTGCCAACTCTCCTCAGTCCCTTTCATGACCATACTTCTTTGCTTCTCAACCTGTCCTAACTGGAATCGGGTTCCAGCACACCTCAGCAGGTAAGTGCAAACTGGACTTTGAAAGAGAAGATTGAGACACAAAAGATTTTGCTCTTTTATGTAAGCAAAACCACAAGCAATTTGTGTGAAAATGGCTTCTAAGAGTGCAAGACCACGAGGCAGAAATATAATTTCAGATTGAGCAAAGCTAATTAATATGGGTATCATACCTGCTGGAGTTGCTGGATCCAGGGTGCTAGCTCAAGCTGTAGTTTGCTAGATTGTTGACTGAAATCTGAACTCAATTTTGGCTTAGACTAATGAGATTGAGAGGCCAATGCATATGGATGTTAAGTTGCCAAAGGAACAGATTGTGAGGGACATGCTGTAGTATCACACAACCGCAATGGACTGTAGTGGAGTACACTGTAGATTGACTCAATCTCTATCCGACTCCCCCTTCGTTGGTGTGTTCCTGTGGAACAGAGACTGAGAAGCTTAAAACAACATGTCACATCTTTACAGCCAGGATTTGGGATGCTCTCCCATGTACTTTGGCTGGTAGAAGAGAGGAACAAGGTCATTTTCCTGCTGCTGTGTGAGAGGCATAGGAGCACTGTGGCAGTGGCAGGGCATTTCAGGTATTACCAGCTTTATGGGTGTCGGATGCAGTTGTGTTTGGGGCAGGGCAGCAGGACCATAGTGGCAGCAGCTGTCTCAGTTCTCGGTTGTCACCATGGTGGTCTGCTCTTGGATCCAACAGCACTGCTGGGGGCCTTGCTCACTCCCACTCTTCCATCCCTTCTGAGAATTTTCTACGAATCTAATTTGTTTAGCCTGTCTAGAGTAGTTTCTGGGTTTTTTTTTTTCCCTGTTAAACCCTGATAGATACAGAGACTGATTGAATTATTGGATCAACAGTTGATTGAAGTATGATTGAACATTTAGTTAATTTGGGGAACTCAAGTGGAATCTTATGAGGGAGGACAAAGCTATGCATTTTTTTCTGAACTCATGAGTTTCAGTATAGGTTAGTTTTTCATAGTTCCACTAAAGGAATGAAGTGATACTTTTCAGCATTTTCCTGAATCTCCCCCATCTGGGCATGGGGTCAGGGGCCTTATGTAATGTTCTGCTCTCCTGGGCTCTAGAAACATCTATTTGTTTCCTTGACTGTCAGGTTTTGAAGTTTATGGCATTGAGTTGTCCCCCTTCCTGGTTTTGCTGAATTTGCTGACTCTTTGGCAAGTTTTTACTTTCATAAATTTGGTTCATATCTTTAGATGTAAGATAAGAAG